TCCGTAGAGGAAATGTAAAACTTTCCTGTTCTGTAATGTCATCATAAATCTAAAGCAAATTGGTTTAATAATTTATTTTGTGTGACTCTTGCAGTGTCGTGTTGTCACTGGAATGCTTACTAATCTGAAATTTTCAGATATTAGCTTCTTATTTTCAAACAGAAAGTAGCATATAACTTACAACACAAATCATTTACAAACAAACATTAATTTCTCCTAATAAAGTATTCTTTCTTTCAAAGTAATTCCATGTATTATCTATTGCTCTTTGTTGTTTGTGTATGTGTGTGTGTGTTTTTATATGTGGTTAAAGTAAAGAAGTTAATAAACTTAATTAGAGGAAATTAATTACCATGAATTTGAAGTTCAATTATTGTCAGTGCTATACATTCTAGAGGTTGGTGAAAATGTCTGAACTAGCTTCAGGGCATTTTTTGTCAAAATTGTGAAGGGGCCTGGGCCTGTTCATTTTGTGAAAAAAAGCGTGATATGTCATAAATTTGTGAAAATAAAATGACATATTACTTGGCATTTCACGACATTTTGATTTTGAAACCAGAAACGGTCGATTATAATATTTGACCTGTGTAAAATCTGCTTCAAGTTGGTACATTAACCCGGTTAACATGTTCAAAAACCATTTAACTTGATTAAAACTATTTCTGTGTTATTGCAATTGGCGTAAATCAAGTTTTACCAGAAGTTAAACAATGTATTTCGAAGACAAAGTCCTATTATTTCTTGAAATCTCTTTTGAAATTGTGAATTTTTTTCTGCTGCTTTGTGAAAAACACGTGCAATTTTGAATTGTGAAGGGGCCTTATATCGGCCCCTGTTATAGAAGGGAAAAAAGCCCTGAGCTTGTGACTTAATATAATTATATTTTTTGAAGACAGGGCTTTTTTTCCTTTTATTACAGGGGCTGATATAAGGACCCTTCACAATTCAACTTTTTCACAAAGCGGCAGAAAAAAATTCACAATTTCAAAAGAGATTTCACAAAATATTCAGACTTTGTCTTGGAAATACATTGTCTACCTTCCGGTAAAACTTGATTTACGCCAATTGCAAAAACACAGAAATAGTTTTAATCAAGTTAAATGGTTTTTGCGCATGTTACCCAGGTTAATGTACCGACTGGAAGCAGATTTTACACAGGTCAGAAATTATAATCAACTGTTCCGGTTTCAAAATGTCGAGAAATGCCAAGTAATATGTAACTTTTTTCACAATGTTATGACATATCGCGCTTTTTCACAAAATGAACAGGCCCAGGGTGGGGGGAAAATCCCGGGATCCGGGATCGTATTAGATATGTAGAGAGAAAACTAATAAACTATATTTGTGTTGATTATTGTCGTAATGAAAGGCAATTAAACGTTAAGTTTTTAATTTTTATTGTATGCAAAGAACGTTAAATTAATTAAACTTGGGATATAAATATATTTAGAGCTATTTATTAACAAACTCAAAATGTGAAAATCACAATATTTATAATTATATGCCTAATTCATTGGAAAAATTAAAGACTATATTCTTGAACTGGTCAATTCCCGGGATCCCTATATGTTTTAATACGATCCCGGCTTTTCTGAAAACTATATTCTTGAACTGGTCAATTCCCGGGATCCCTATATGTTTAATACGATCCCGGCTTTTCTGAGAACTGGTCAATTCCCGGGATCCCTATATGTTTTAATACGATCCCGGCTTATCCGAAAAATATCTTCTTAGACTGGTCAATTTCTGGGATCCCTATATTTTTTAATACGATTTTTCTTATTGCATATTAGCACTCTTTAAGCCCAATGTACAACGACTTCCATTGCCATTACACAGTGTAAGAAATTAGGATTTGAATCAACTAGGCTGGTCGGACTACCAGATTGAAATATTCACTGGCCCAAAAGACATTTCACTAGCACGATTCATTTGTTCAAAACAGTTGTTTATATTGCCTCTGAAAATCCAGTAGCCTGGTCGGGCTTGTTACCGTGAAAAGTTGGTAGCCCGAGGAGAAATTTAGTAGTCAGGGGCTATAGGACTACTGCTAATTTCTAACACTGTAAATTACATGTACTTACAATATTTGTGTGTGACATTCTGAGGTCAATTAATTAACGCTTTTGTCTGTGAAAAAAATAAGTTATTTTTAAAGATTTTTTATAACTACTACAAATCAAACTTATTCAGAAATCTCTACAAAAACACTCAAATGGTGATGATAATGATAATAATAATACACTGAGAGTAGGTGGTAAATTCCCGGGATTACTATATGTTTAATATGATCCCGGATCCAGGCTTTTCTATAGGCGATCCCGGGATTTTCCACCCACCCAGGCCCAGGCCCCCCTTCACAATTTTTACAAAAAATGCCCTGGAAGAAAAAAAAATGTTTCTTTTTAACTTGTGTCTTTAAAATAAGGCATTACATAGCAGGGGTTTATTTAAGCGGACGCCCGCTTGCCCGCGTCGGGTAGAAATCGCTGCGGGCAAGTGAAATTTGAAAGCAAATTGCCCGGCGGGCAAGTGAATTTTCGTTATGCCTTCTATTAGCTTTGATATCCTTTGCCGATAATACTTTTCTTTCCGTTCATATTACAGTCAAACAAGTGTATTTATAACTGTTTCTGATTGTAGTTGGACTCCTATCAACCCATCAAATTACGTAAAAAAAACTTTTTCTATATTGCTTTCCTTTCAAAATGGCGGGCGGCGCCGAAAGTTTTCCCATTTTTAAAAGAAAAAAATCTACAGCAATTAAAGAAAAAGCCACGGCAAAGAAAACATCTGATTTTCTGAATAAAAAGCATAAAATCACAAAAATTCAAGATGAGTTATGTCAATAAAGACTGACACAACTGCAAGGTTCAAGAAAGAACAGAAAAATCGGGCCGTAAAAATCTACTCCTTTGAATCCTGTACGCTATTGTTTTCTTAAATACAGTCAAAATTTAACTAACTGGCGTCAACTCATTTGCAATAGGCCTATAGAATTTTTTTAAAATTCATCACCAGTAACCTTTTTTACACAAATCTTGACGAAAAATCATAATAGTCTTGAACTGTTGTTAATTTATTTTCCTTTCTCCCCTACGGCAATGTTTAAAAATATTCTTACCTATTAATAAACAAAAATAAAATAATCCATAAAATGTTTAAAATCCTTTTTGGTAAATCACAGCATATTGTGTAACTATAAGTTATCTGAGGTCATTCTAGGTCATGCCTAATTTACGACCAAAACAGAAAAAAACCTCCTTAGGTGAAACATACAGCAAATGACGTATATTTCGTCTGACAGTTCTTTGAACCAGTCAGTGCTCTGAACTGTATGATTACTGCATGGGGTGAGTCCCTTTGATGTGACATAGGTTAAAACTTCAAATAAATTTTAATACAAACAGGGAGGATAGGAATCAATTTAAATTGAGTATAACACATCCTGTCATGGACTTGGAGCAACTCGTTGTTTTTAAAAATGAAATAAATTTGAAAGGTACATTACTAGTTTGGTAATGCAAACAAAGCAAACATATTTTTGATATTTTACATTGTTTGAAATCAACAATAAACATTTAAAACCTAGCACAATTTTAACAATCAATGTACTGTTTCCTTTTTAATGTTGTTTTAGGGAATAAATATTTTTAAGGTGATAGCATCTGAATGTTAATATATTTTAAAAGTCATCTGGAATAGGGCCTAATATTTCCTGTAATTTTTATAAGCCTTAACAGATCATGTCGGACTTGACTATTGTTAATCTTCACTTTCATTTTACTATTTTGATGTGAGGAATCCCTGACGTTTAGGAGTTTTTCTAAATTAAATCTCAGGGATTTCTATTGGATCCCTGGCAAAGAAAGTTGTGTCGACCCCTAGACTATTGTGAATTAGCAAACAAACATATACAGTAGGGAATTTAGGACTATTTTACTATCTGAGGCATAAGTTGATAGATCCTGCAATAAATCTTATTTTTACCCATAATTTTTGCTTTGATTATTAACAAACTTCACATTTAAGATCGGGCAACCTGTTTTTCCTGGGGGCAAGTAGATTTTCAAAGTTACTTGCCCTTCGGGCAAGTGAAAGTCAAAACCTTAAGTAAACCCCTGCATAGGACAGGGTCTTTCAAATAGAATGGTCTGGAGTCGGACCAATTTTACGAAAAAAGTTGTCTCGGCTGAGTCATGTGATAAGGTTATATATATCGACCCTAATCTGGAACAGTACATCACCGTTTAAAAAAATCAAATTATAAGCCAACATTTCATTGAATTAATCAAAACATTACTGAAAACTAACCCTGGATGCATTACACTATCAGTTTTTAATTTGAAAAGTAAAAGTTTTATAGATTTGCAATGAAATAAGAAATTTATCGTTCCTAGTGTCAAGGTAAAAATCTACTGCATAAATATTTGAAAATAGGTCTTAGTTTCATAAACTTTTTTAATTTTATGCATTGTTCAATGACAAAATAGAAATTGATTTTACAGAGAAAAAAAGTTATTGAATAGTATCATGTAAAGATTTTATAATATTTCACTATGTTATTTACAAATATTTTATGTTTAATTTGGTGCATTTTCAAAATGGCGCCGTTTTGGCAAATATTCTGAACAAGCAATCTATATTTTTCAACAGATTATGGCTTTAAAAAACATTATTTTCTAAAATATTTAAATGTTTTTCACAAGTTTCAAGAGCTGATTGTACTTATACTGAAAATGGAGACTTGACATTTGCTTTGAGTATTTTTACAAATTTAAATACTTCAAAATTTAGAGAAGAAAACACACAGTATAAACATGCAAGAAGAGAATATTTTGCTACTTAAGAACTGTCACAAACTATGAACTAATACTTACAAATGTATGTTTATGTCAGTAAGTTTGTATCATTTGAAATACAATTTGGTTTTGATAAGGAAAGAAAAATCATGTTCATGAAGAAAACTTATACATTGAAGGAGGTCTTTAATTCACAGGATGCTTGTTTTGTTTCAGGATATTTTGTCTGCAGCTTTAGATGATGCTGGTATAACTGCTGATGAAACATTTGACTTTGACTTTACTGCCCCTGCAGTTACCACTGGAACTCCACATATTATTGAACAGGTATGTCAACTTTACATAGCTTGGTTACTTTCACTGTACACTTGATTGTATAGTTATTAAACTCTGATGTGAGTTAGGTAATCATGTTTAAATTAAACCCAGTTACTTTAATCATAGTATGCAGTGCTGGACAGTCATTTGTAAAGTTTGGCTGTTCTTGTGCTGTAGTAATATGTTTTCTTTTCTATAAAACTCTGACAATAGCACACAATGTCCATATTACAGTGCTTGTTTCATTACCTAACTGTAGGAAAAAAGGTTTGATCCATTTTATGTTTTGTAATGAAATTGTAACAAGATATTGGAAAACTTGACCTGAATTTTGCTGAAGATTCTGATGGTCAAAAGTAAAGACACTGATTAGTATTGAGAGATTTCTATAACTGGCAATGTTAGCAATCATAGGCTACTAACGTTCTTTTGTTTATGCAGTGTTTTTGTACTTTTAAACTTTAATGGGTAATATTTTTTAAAATGAAAAATACATATTTTATTGCAGAAAGAAAATTGATGGTTTATTTTGATACTAAATTTCTGATTAATAATTTTATTACAGCCAAGTCAGTTTAATTCACAAAACAGCCCAGTGATTGTGAAAGGCCAGCCTCCACCAGTATTAGTGAATGGTCAACCCCCTCCAGGGCTAGTTAATGGTCAACCCCAGCCGGTCATTGTGAACAGGCCAGGAGGGTCATCTCAACCTGTATTTTCAAATGCTTTAAAGAATCTAGCAGCGCAAAATAACATAATACCACAAAAAGTAGTTAGTGCCCAGCCAGCAGGACATATTGTTACAGCTGTAAGTCTCAAAGTTAGCTCTCACATAATTAGTGTAGTAATTTATTTGATCATGAATTTATTAATGCAGCCTTGTAAATTTTTTCTAGATCACTTTTGTTTGTTGAAAATACGATTTTTAAAGATGATTCAAATGGAATTGAGATATTTTCTTCAATTGAAAATGAGGCATGAAATTTATTACATTAATAAAACACCGTGTTATGAAAATTATTAATTTATTGCTAATTTATTGATAAATCTGCAGCAAATATTTAACTGGTTGATGATGGATGGTCATTTTGGATCTTAAAAAATGTTATGTTTATCAGTTGCCATTTACATTACACATAACAAACGCATAAACATTATCTGTTATGTTTTATGAGGGGATTTCTTTTTTTCATATTAAATGGCTGAGGGACTATTCTAAGAGAGTATCGGTCCTATATTCATTCCCTAATTATTCCAAACGACGTATTGATTGAATTTAGGCTTAAAAAATTTGTAAATCTATTGCCTATGAGACTCACTGCAAACTTTGACCACATGTGACTGTATTCTTAACTTTCAGCCTAGCACATTAACAGGCCAGCCTCCAGTATCTGTCTTACAGAGATCTTCATCAACACCTACAATTATTAAACTGCCTAGTAACCAAGGTAATGTTACTAATGGACCTCAGGTTATTAGACAGCAAAGCGCTCAGGCTGTCAGTGCTGTGAGTACATCAAATACACCAGGTCGTACAAAGATTATCACAGTTAAACGTGTTGGACCCAATGGTAGCATTACACAAAGTCGCTCCTTTACTATCAGTGCCGATGCGGCCACTGGTTTAGGTGGTGGACAGAAAATAATTGTGCAGAGATCAAATGGCGGGAACGCGCAAGTTGTTCAGGCTGTACCTGCTCAGGCAGCACCAATTGGTTCCCAGGCAACAGGAACTATCAAAATTCCGATTAGTGTCGTACAGTCCACATCTAGTAACCTTTTATCGCAGCCTCAAACTGTTATTGTTACCACTATGGGTAACTCTCAGTCGTTTGAAAATCAGTTTAAACAATATGCAGTTGCGAACACATCAAGTGTAGATTCTAAAGTGAACATGACAGTTAAAGATTCTATATTTGCGTCGTCTGCAGCCCAAAACATAGTGAGAACACAGCCACATGTGATTCATATAAACAGGCCGTCGGCTGCAACAAGTAATCAGTTGTTGACTAGAAATCTGCCACAGAATGCTAGACTGGTTTCCAGTCAGTCTATGGCATCTGCCGGCAACCAGAGCCTCCGTGTGATACAGCGACCATTCCAGAATAACGGAAGTAGTCCGGGTTTAATACACAGTCAATCGGTTCCTGGAAATTTGACTACGTATAGCAATATAACAAATATTCCACGTCATATGACTGAACAAAGAGATACAAATTCTCCGCCACCTATCATCGTAAATCAGTCGGGTTTTGGAGGAAATGGTAAGCTCGTGTTGAACAATTTGTATGAAAATGGAATAAACTCCATGGATCCTATGTCAGCCATGCAGAGAAGTGTTCAAAACATTCCTGCTCCTAAAATAACTAACAAAGATCTTTCAAGGATGTGGTCTAACCAGGACATCAGACTGAAAAATATTACCCAGAATGTTGTAAGTATAATTATTATTATAAACGGTAACTCTTCACCAGTCTTCCCATCAATCTTCATGTTTACTGCTTTTTTCTGATTAAACAGGCATATGGAGAAGAAACCAGTACAAAAATTTAAGACTTGTACAATATTTTTTTCCCAAAAGTTTGGTTTATATGGAATATAGAGGATATTGAATGAGTGTAAGTTTAATACTGAATTTATTGCACGAGTTGGATAAAATTATATTATGCGAGCCTCTGGCGAGCATAATATTATTTTATTCAACGAGTGTAATAAATTCAGTAATGAACTTACACGAATTTAATATTCTATTTATCACATACCCAAAATAAAGACAGTTTAAAGTGAAATAAGAGTCATTTTTCATTGACGCGCCTATAGTATAACGCTAACATTTAGCGCGTCTTTACACTATGTTTGTATAACGCTAATGACGTCACGTCAAAATATATGCACGGCCGTGCAATACCATATTTACGGAGTCGCAAAATCGGCACGGGTGTGTGATAAATATATATCATGAATATATTAGATATTTATTGAAATTTGAATGTTTATTTTAATGTTATCAGTAACTTTTTTGTATACAATTGAATTATCATTCAATGTTTTAACTCTGGTTGTCTGTTTCGTGTCCACTCTCTCGAACCACAAGCAGACTTTTCTTGAAAACTGGATCATTTGTAATCTTAAAGGGACAATCATGCAGATCTCACTTATTGCCAGTCACTGCTTTTTGGATGCAGCAAGCAAAGTCATTGCATTTTTGGTTTCAATGCATCTTTTTTGTAGTTTTTGGTCAGAGTAATGTCCCCTTAACTAGTAAATAGTGTGAATTTTACTCAATACCCTTTGACAGATTTAATCATTTTAGATATTATTTTGGTTCCCTTTTAAAATTTAAGGCATATATTCATAGGCAACATTCTTTTCTTGGTTTAATTTAAATCACATCAACCAGGGCTCAAGCTAGGTTCAAAATTTAGGGAGAAGTCACTTCTCCCTCCAGCTGCTTTAGGGAGAAGTGGGGAGACTTTAGGGAGAAGTGAGGAGATTCATTTATCGATGTTTGTTGTATGTTATCGCAATTATGTTGACTCACTGTACATATCTTATTAAATGAATTGGATTTGTGTTACAACAGAATATTCAATTTTAATTTAAAAGTAGTTTGAAACAAGTAATAAGAATGAGTATCATGTAATGCAACCATTGCATTAAATGAAGATAAAAAAGCCATAGTTGATTCCTATCATGGATCATATCATGGGTGGATTAACAGTTATTCCCTTCTGATTTACTATTAAAAAGCTTGCGCCGGACATTATATTCATATTCACTTATGTTGTAAAGAAAATGAAAGTAGATAACGAAAGAAACGATCTTTAATTTAACTTCATTTGTAATAAATACAGTGTAATACGCCGTCAATTTTATCAAATTTAACTGGTCGACAAAAAAGGTTATCATAACTTTCATTTAAAATTACCGTTACAGTTATATGTCGAGCTTCTGACCAGTGTTTTTTTTCACCAAAATATTCGGCGAAATTCTCCCCATTCCCCACTCAAAATAGTATGTTTTTTTCCCCCCTCAAAGCTGAAATTTCCCCCTATAATATGGCAGCCCAAGTTTGCCTGCAATAAATATCATTTTTTTGCAACTAACTGCTGAAAAATGCTTTATTTTATGCCTGTAAGACTTACTGTTAAGCAAGGTTTTTCATATAGGTAAGGGGAGCTACTCCTGGTATCCCAACAAGTTTATCATGTGACACATCAATATTTTAGATCCGTATAAAAATTCCCCTCCTATTGCATTTTTCCCCCTCCAATGGGCACCGACCCCCTTCCCCCAAAAGTGAAAAAAAACACTGCTGACAATCATTCGACAGTGAAAATTTAATTGACGTTTTGATCCGTCCATCATAAATAATTGTTACGGGTAGTTGTATGTTAGCGATTTAATGATTGGTTTAATAATGTCGCCTCGATTAAAACGTGAATTACGATTGGTTTCTCGCACGTATCGGTAATCTCGCCGTGGGCGGAGTCTAATTGTTCCTCGAGTGTCTGTTAATTAGACTTTTATGACATGTTGGTAAACAAACGGATTAATGACATTTCGCGTTGATTGAGATGCATGACAGTCCCTTTTTCCGGCGTCGAGGGTAAACAAAGCAAACACACACAACATGTTATTCACAGTTATTGTTGGTAATTTTCAATAATGGATCAATAAAATTGGGCGTCTTCATCTTCGCTTTCATGTAGGATGTCGGCGAAGTCAGACGGAATTCGGCGACTATTTCGCCCGAATCGCCCACTAGCTCGAGCCCTGTCAACTCTGTGACTAGTCATATGGCAAATTTCATGCTTAAATAATGGAACATGTCAGTTGCCCTTTTGTGAACCTGAGTAGAATCACAAATCTGCTTGCTGGATAGATAATAATAAAAAAAAGACCGATGATCTTTTAAAGATTTGATATTGTTAATGAACTTTAGTCATTATATTAATTGAGTTTTGTAATTATTTCAGGTAAATCATTCCCAATCTGGACCTAGACAGATCACAGTAGTTGAGGAAGAGGAAGAAGGCGAGGAGGTTGAGGGACTTGGACAGGCAGAAACATATAATGAATATATGCCTGCAAAATGTAAGAGCCTTGAATTGCCTATACTGATTTTGTAGTTTTATTTTTTGAAGAGTAAATGCAATAAAAATCATTAAACATGAACTAGGGCCATCATTGATGAATAAAAGTTTGTGTTAATATATCAGAAGTCAAATAGCAGATGATTATACTCTTTTAACAAGGCAATTAATTGTAATTATTAATGGTATACAAATGAAACATAATAAATTATAGATTCAGCGCTTCCATTAGTGAAAGGTTGGGAATCATGTACTCCTTGATTTCCTTTGTGATTTCAAAAATGTCATGGTTTTCCTATATAACGTGACTTAAAATGTTGGAGTGTTTGCAGTCTCTGACTTCCAAATTTTGAAACTTAAGGGAAACCCTTTAGATTGTGATCAAATTTGGCTTCAGAATTTTTTCGAATAGTTACGGTGATGGGTGAGGGTATGAATCACCTTTATTCATAGCAGGGCTCGACATTAACGGTTGTTCGACTGCCCGGGACAACTAAAAGTTTGGTCCGATCAAGTAATTTTGAAAAGCACTTGTCCGAGAGGGCAAGTGAAATTAAAAAGCATCATTAACAAAATGCATGTACAAAATAAATAGAAAAAACATCTTTTCATATATAAACATCTGTAAAACAAAAATACACCATGAACAATTATCAATAATGTAAATATACTACTGTCATGTACATTTGTTGATATAGAAAACGGAAGCCAAAATATGAGCATGTGCTGCTGTAAGGTAATTCCCCGTTCTAATAATAGACTATATTTAATTTTGTACAAGGTAATTCCCGGGTCATGCTGTCGTTTTAATTTTGATGCGTGCATGTAAAGATATCATTGAAAATATGTAAATAATCGTATTGATCTTTCGATTCGTATGGAAAAATGATTTATTGTTTTATCATATATAACGACATTATAAACGTAGTCTTCGTTATTAGCCTGGATGATGATTGATGAACTGATGTTTTAGATTAACTACTGAATACAAAAATATTTGTGTCTAACTAACAATCAATTTCATAAACAATATGTCTAGTTTATAGCCTTATGTTAAAATGACCTTATACAAGAAGTAATATTGTATGAGCTTGTTTGTCTTTTCTGATTGATACATTTTTACCATTTTTAGGTCAGGACAAGTAAGTCTTAGGTCAGGGCAAGTAGTTTTAACAACTACTTGCCCAACAGGACAACCTGATTCAAAAGTTTATGTCTAGGCCTGCATAGTTCTAGTTTTATTTTCCCTACCTACATTTATTCTTCTCTTTTGAATAGTTGCATATATTACTCTTTGTTGTTTAAAGTCATTAGATCTGTTCTTTATTGTGCTTGTATGTTTTATATTTCCAGTAAAACTTGGCATCAAGCATCCAGATCCAGTTGTAGAAACAAGCTCTATGTCAAGTATTGAACCTCCTGACATCTGTTACAGACTGTCTATTCCTGAAAGCACCATTGATTATGGAGAGTTATCTGCCCTTCAGTTAGAATCAATCACATATGCCTCCCAGAGACACGAGATTATGTTACCTAGCGGAGAGAGGGCAGGCTTTCTTATAGGAGATGGTGCTGGTGTAGGCAAGGGTCGTACATTAGCAGGGGTTATATTTGAAAACTACCTTTTGGGGAGGAAAAGGTCAATATGGTAAGAATATATGTCAATACTTTCTGTCAAAGCACAGCAAAATCCATTGTAATTGAAAGCATTTTATTTGTGAAGTACAGAGATTTAAATTAATCTGCCAAATGTAGTAGTGTACCTGTTAATTTTTTATTTTTTTTTGCTTCTTTTATATTTTTTCAACTTATTTTACTTAGGCTTTGTTTATTTATATTCTCATTTTTAAAATAATTTTTCCCACTTGATTGGGAAGAGGCACAAGCCTCTTGATTTGGAGAAAAAGTTATCACTAAAATTGCTAATTTGGGAAGTTAAACAGCTGGTGTAAGTTCAGACTTTGGGTTTTAAAGAAAATTAAAATTTTGAAGTGGCCTTTTTAGGCCTCTGTTAAATATGGTGAAAAATCACTGTAGACACATTTAAGAAAGACATTTTAAAGAACTATTTGTTTGCTGAGTACAAGTAAGGTTGTACCTTCAGGTTGAGTGTGTCTAATGATCTGAAGGTTGATGCCGAGAGAGATCTGAGGGATATTGGAGCTACAAAGATAGATGTTCACCCACTTAATAAGGTATGTTCTACCTATAGATGTTCACCCACCTAATAAGGTATGTTCTGCCTATATATGTTCACCCACTTAATAAGGTATGTTCTGCCTATAGATGTTCACCCACTTAATAAGGTATGTTCTACCTATAGATGTTCACCCACTTAATAAGGTATGTTCTACCTATAGATGTTCACCCACCTAATAAGGTATGTTCTGCCTATAAATATTCACCCACTTATTCTTGCATATCAGACAGGATTATTTACCATCTACCATTTACACCAGTGCTAGAAAACAATCTTACACTCCCCATGCCGCGCGCCTTTTACGAATGAATTGCGTAATTTATTAGGATGACATAATTTTACCATTATGAATGAAGTTGTAAGTTCATACGCTATTATTAGAAGAAATCAAGAATCAGATTGGTAAATGTCCATGGATGGTCAGCTGAACATGAACAGTTTATTCTGTAAACAACTTTTTTAGGGATTTTTATAAAAAAGTTATTGTTGTAAGGTGCTGTTGTGCAAATTGTCTGGGTTTTGTGATTTGATTGTTGTTTTTTTTTGCATAATTATGGCACTTGTTATTGTTTGATAATTATATGTCTTGTTTTCCAGTTTAAATATGCCAAGATATCTGGTAAGGAGAATGGTCATGTGAAGAAAGGTGTGATATTTGCCACTTACTCGTCGCTAATTGGAGAAAGTCATTCTGGTGGAAAGTACAAGACCCGCTTCAAGCAGCTCATCAAATGGTGTGGCAAGGAGTTTGATGGAGTTGTATCCTTTCTAATAACTTTATATTCAAGAGAAGAATTCTTCCCATCGAACTTATAGTGTGCAAAGCTAATGTCACAATATTGTCTAAGGTTTTGGTAGTTATGACAGTCACAGACTTAAAATACAAACCAAATCTGCAAATTTTTTATTTTTGTAATGTGTAGTGACCTGTAAGGTTCCTATATCAACATTTCATAATAAGATTTAGTTATAATTTTCTATATTGTTCTCTAAATATGAAAAGATTGGAAGTGATAAAGCATAGTGAATTTTACTGTTCCAGTTTTTGTTATGCCCCCGCCATATAATGGCAGGGGCATATAGTGTTACCCTATTCCGTCATTCCGTCCTTCCGTCATTCCGTCCTTCCGTCATCATCAGTTTCCGTTCATTATCTTAATAACCCTTGCACATATTGAACTCAAATTTGACATATGGATATGTCATGAGAAAATACAGGTCAAGTTCGAAATTGGTCATGGTTCGATGATTTTTGGCAGAGTTATGCCCCTTTTACATTGAAAATAATATGAAATTTTCAGTTTCCGTTCATTATCTCCCAAACGGTTCAAAACATTCAATTCAAAATTGACATATGGATATGTCATGAGAAAATACAGGTCAAGTTCGAAATTGGTCATGGTTCGATGATTTTTGGCAGAGTTATGCCCCTTTTACTTTGAAAATAATATGAAATTTTCAGTTTCCGTTCATTATTTCCCCAACGGTACAACACATTCAACTCAAACTTGACATATTGATATGTCATGAGAAAATACAGGTCAAGTTCAAATTTGGTCATGGTTCGATGATTTTTGGCAGAGTTATGCCCCTTTCACTTTGAAAATAATATAAACATTCATTTACCGTTCATTATCTCCCCCAACGGTACAACACATTCAACTCAAACTTGACATATGGATACGTCAAAGGAATGCGCAGGTCAAGTTCGAATTTGGTCATGGTTCAATGATTTTTGGCAGAGTTATGCCCCTTTTACTTTGAAAATAATATGAAATTTTCAGTTTCCGTTCATTATCTCCCCAACGGTACAACACATTCAACTCAAACTTGACATATGGATACATCAAAGGAATGCGCAGGTCAAGTTGAAATTTGGTCATGGTTCAATGATTTTTGGCAGAGTTATGCCCCTTTTACTTTGAAAATAATATGAAATTTTCAGTTTCTGTTTATTATCTCCCCAACAGTATTAAACATTCAACTCAAATTTGACATATTGATACGTCAAAGAAATGCGCAGGTCAATTTCAAATTTGGTCATGGTTCGATGATTTTTGGCAGAGTTATGCCCCTTTCACTTTAAAAATAATATGAAATTTTCAGTTTCCGTTTATTATCTCCCCAACAATATTACACATTCAACTCAAATTTGACATATGGATATGTTTTTGGAATGTGCAGACCAAGTTCGAATCTGGTCATGGTTCAATGATTTTTGGCAGAGTTATGCCCCTTTCACTTTGAAAATAATATGAAATTTACAGTTTCTGTTCATTATCAACCCAACAGTGTTACATATTCAACTCAAAATTGACATATGGATATGTCAAAGGAATGCGCAGGTCAAGTTGGAATTTGGTCATGGTTCAATGATTTTTTGGCAGAGTTATGTCCCTTTCACTTTGAAAATAATATAGATACATCTTAGGAATAAGCAGTTTAAGTTTGAATTTGGTCGTGGTTCAATGATTTTAGACAAACTTATCTTTCCTGAATGTTGGAAAAATTTTGAACTTTCAGTTTCAGCACTCATACTTTTGTGGAAATGTATATAGCCATTATGTTGGCTACAAATATGCAATATGCTATTTTTAAAAGGTTAAGACTGAATAATTTCAGTGCCTTGAACATTGTATAAAAATGGTTAAGACTGAATAATTTCAGTGCCTTGAACATTGTATAAAAATGGTTTGTGTTAACATTGAAAAGTTTTAAGGGCTTTGAACTTAGAATAAAATAATTTGTGCAAACAAATTTGGAACTAAATATTATAACATTTGAAATTTTGGCTGCATGCGGGGGCATCCGTGGCATGATGACACATTTCTAGTTTGTTTGATATCCATTCACCTCCTGTTTTATAATTATGTTAACATCCATTTGGCAAAACCCAGGTAAAGGGTCATTTTCTTTTTTATGCCCCCGCCATGTAATGGCCGGGGCATATAGTGTTACCCTGTTCCGTCATTCCGTCCTTCCGTCATTCTGTCATTCCGTCATCATCAGTTTCCGTTCATTATCTTAAGAACGGTTGCACACATTCAACTCAAATTTGACATATGAATATGTCATGACAAAATACAGGTCAAGTTCGAATTTGATCATGGTTCGATGATTTTTGACAGAGTTATGCCCCTTTAACTTTGAAAATAATATGAAATTTCAGTTTCCGTTCATTATCTCCCCAACGGTACAAGACATTCAACTCAAACTTGACATATGGATATGTCATGACAAAATACAGGTCAAGTTCGAATTTGGTCATGGTTCGATGATTTTTGGCAGAGTTATGCCCCTTTTACTTTGAAAATAATATGAAATTTTCAGTTTCCGTTCATTATCTCCCCAACGGTACAACACATTCAACTCAAACTTGACATATGGATGCATCAAAAGAATGCGCAGGTCAAGTTCAAATTTGGTCATGGTTCAATGATTTTTGGCAGAGTTATGCCCCTTTCACTTTGAAAGTTATATGAAATTTTCATTTTCTGTTTATTATCTCCCCAACAGTACAACACATTCAACTCAAATTTGAAATATGGATATGTTTTTGGAATGCCCAGGCCAAGTTGGAATTTGGTCATGGTTCAATGATTTTTGGCAGAGTTATGCCCCTTTCACTTTGAAAATAATATGAAATTTACAGTTTCTGTTCATTATCTACCCAACAGTGTTACATATTCAACTTAAATTTGACATATGGATATGTCAAAGGAATGGGCAGGTCAAGTTGGAATTTGGTCATGGTTTGATGATTTTTTTGCAGAGTTATGTCCCTTTCACTTTGAAAATAATATAGATACATCTTAGGAATAAGCAGTTTAAGTTGGAATTTGGTTGTTGTTCAATGATTTTAGACAAACTTATCTTTCCTGAATGTTGGAAAAATTTTGTACTTTCAGTTTCAGCACTCATACTTTTAGCCATTATTTTGGCTACAAATATGAAATATGCTATTTTTAAAAGGTTAAGACTGAATAATTTCAGTGTCTTGAACATTGTATGAAAATGGTTTGTGTTAACATTGAAAAGTTTTAAGGGCTTTGAACTTAAAATGAAAAAAATAATTAATGCACCATCTGAAATTTTGGCTGCATGCGGGGGCATCCGTGGCATGATGACACATTTCTAGTCTTTCTTTTGTTATAATAAAGGGCCATGTCTACATATTGGAATAAGATCTGACGTTGATTTAAGTATTTTTTATTTACTGTTTAATTGCTCCAGTCGTGCAATATTTTGTGACAGTAACTACTTATTGACTTGCAACTTACCTCAGATTTATACAGTTTTGTTTATAATGACAAACATTTACATTTAATATGTCAGATCAACCTTAACATTGTGATAGATTGTATTTGATGAATGTCACAAAGCGAAGAACTTGTGTCCTGTTGGTTCCAGCAAGCCTACAAAGACAGGTCAGACGGTGTTAGAATTACAGAAAAGATTACCTAAAGCTCGGATAGTATATGCTAGTGCTACAGGAGCTTCTGAACCCAGGAATATGGCCTACATGACCAGGCTTGGACTCTGGGGACAGGGAACGCCTTTCCCAGAATTTAATGACTTCATACAAGCTGTTGAAAGAAGGTTAGACTAGAACAGATGTTTTACTTGTAAATTTCAGACTAGAATATATAAGAAGATAAATACATGTACTTGAATTGATCATATATAGAGGATATTGAATGAGTGTAAGTTCAATACTGAATTTATTGAACGACTTGAATAGTATTTTATTATGTAAGCCTCTGACGAGCATAATATTATTTTATTTAACAAGTTCAATCAATTAAGTATTAAACTTGCACAAATTCAATATTCTATTTATCACATACTAAAAATAAAGACGGTTTGAAGTGAAAAAGAACAATTTTTCATTGAAACGTTTAAAGTGTAGTGCTAACAGAGCGTCTTAACGCTATGTTTGTATAAAGCAGATGACTTCGCATCAAAATTTATGCACTACCGTGCAATACCATTTTTACGGAGTCGCAAAATCTGCACAGTTATGTGTAAAATCTGTGTATTGTAACAATTTATAGTTAATCTCTTTTCTGTCTATACACTTATCATACTTTGCATATACAAATAATAAAATAATCATTTGACAGACTTTTAATTGTGAGTCTTAACAAACTTAAAACAATTTAATGTTGTTATTTTTTGTTTAGATTTTAAAGTTGGGGAAATTTTAGCACAGCTCATTAAAACGCTTCAGTTGGAATCCCAATAGACAAGGAGTCGTTCTAAGACAAGGCTCTCAATTATTAACCTCTCTTGCCGAAAATTTACCGCATTACCCCCCTACTGCATATTTAAGACGCTGACTTTTAATACTTACTTCTCTTGGATTCGACATATCTTTTTTCTAAACCATTCAGATGTGTTAAACGATGTTGAACTACCCGCATAATACTAAATACTTTAAGAAAGGAAAACAACAAAAAAAAATAAATTGATCATTGTAGGTGTAAAACCAAGGTACCATACACACAGCAAAATGATAAATTTGAGTTTGTTTACTTTTAACTGGGGACATAAAGCCGAACTGTAGTGTGGGATTTGACAATGTTTTCCAGCATCAATTGTCCCTTGAAAATCAAACGCCTATTACCTTACCCGTCATGGCCGGGTCTATTTACATGAAATTTTAAAACTTGTGCTTGTGAGGTTACTTAAATACTTAAGTCAAAGATAGTTGGAATTTCATATTTATACTGGACACGTTGCCAATAAACAGTTATGATTAGCTTTTCTGATTGTTTTGGAAAATTTGATGATATGACAAAGGAAACCTCAAAAAAATTTATTGACTTACCGCTATTTTTTCAACCTTGAGTCAAAATTAACTTGTTTCAAAAGAGTGTTAAGTTTACTATCAGTTGAGAGGAAAAGTCATATTTATTTAGGTTAATCTAAATTCTATTAATGTTTTTTACATGTGTTTAATAAAAACAAAAAATTTGCAGTTGTTTTTTTGTCGCAGGTCTAACGCTATACTGGAGATAGCGTATATGAACACGAGTTTCTGAGGTCCTACAGTGTAATGATCTCAGTTTTCATTTAGTTTTTGTTTTATGTCTACAGTGGGTGTAGGTGTCTAGGAGCTGTGTGCCTGATATGAGTTGAGAAAATGTATGTGGCAGCAGTTTTAAAAGGTGTTCTTCAAGATTGAAGAAATCACATAAGTACCAAATTTGTAAAGATTGGTCAGAATAAGTGGCAATGGTAATTAACCCTTTTTTTTTTGTATGAACTGCTTTTGTACCCTTTAAATTTGTTATTTTCATATTTGAACCATACAGGTCACTCACTACACATAGCAAAAAATGATAAATTTGCAGATTTGGATTTGTATTTGGGTAAAATCTGTAACGGTCATAACAACAGAAATCCATTGTTGATGTGTGGTATTTTGATACAATGCTACTTCAAGCAGTCAACAATATACAGTCTGTTTTGACAATTTTGAAGCACAAGCTGGCTTTGCTCTTTACTGATGACACAGTATCCTGCTAACTTTAAAAGGACTAAATTTACATCTGAAAAAATAACAACACTTTTGCTTGATATACAATTCACTTAATATACTCCTAGTGAAACACTAGTTGGAGCATTCCCTGTTAAATACCTGGGAAACATTTGAAACAAACATTGATTAGCCTTTCTCTGTATTGTTTGAAATTTGACCATCCGATTGATACTAAATAGGAAACCTTTTCAAACAGAAATTATTTGACTATCCAGCTATTTATAGATCAAAACTATGATGTCAAATTACACTCTCTGTTTTCAAAGAGGTTGAAGTTTACACTCAGTTTGAGCAGGAAAAAGAATCATCAATATTATATTTAGTTAATTCTGAAATTTACTATGTAGACTTGTTTCTGTACATGTAGTTTAATGCCCCCACCACTTGGGGTAGAGGGACAAGTAAATTTGCATTTGTCCATCTGTCTGATTGTCTGCAGTCTAACAAGCAATGATACGTAGGGGCATCTGTATTCTATGGACACAGTTTCTAGTTTCTTCTATCAGTGCTAACTGATCTATTATTACAATTTGTATGTATTGTTTCCATGGTTACAGTGGGTAGATGCAAGAGAAATGTTCCAGTCAGCAGCAGATCTGGTAGATGCTGATCATCGGTTGAGAAAATGTATGTGGGGGCAGTTCTGGTCAGCCCATCAACGTTTCTTCAAGTACTTGTGTATATCAGCTAAAGTTCCACATTGTGTACAGTTGGTCAGGGAAGCCCTACGAGATGGCAAGGTAAAACTTACTGTTTTTTTTTTTATAGTGAATGCTATTTTTATCTTCCTTCAGAATTTTATACAATTTTCCTTCACTAATTTAAAGAAGGAAATGGAAACCATCACTTGGAAATATAAGCAAGGACTACATTGATTTATTTGTATATTTAGACTTCATGATATCTAGACTTGATTTACACGGTTGTGTTCTCAGATTTTGTAGAAAAAAAAGTAGAAAATATGTCTGGTAGTTGATTAAGCAAATGTTAGTAAAAAGGTTTGTCTGACTTGTTTCCAATACAATATAAAGATGAATATCTCTGTTTGTATGATTTATTATGACATAAGTGCCAGACATCTTGGCAGTCTCTGATTGGACTTTTTTGAAGGGGAGCGGTGGCCTAATGGTTAAGGTGTCTGTCTCTCAACCCAGGGATCATGGGTTTGAGCCCTACTTGATTCATGACCATGTTTCTTCATATTACACCAGTACTGCTTGGATCCAGAAAGCAGACTGGAAAATGATTGATAAAGTTGTAAGAACTTGTTTCACAATTGAGCTTGAATAAAATATATTTGAACTAAAGACCTTTTGTAATTTTGCCCAACATCTGTGAGACTGTTATGTAAAGTAAAGGAAATGTCAGGAAGCCTATGTTGTATCTTTGCTTTATTTAAAGCAATAGAAGTGTATTTTAATCTTGGAATAAGGTTTAATTATATTAATATATTATTACAGTGTGTAGTCATAGGCTTACAGTCAACTGGCGAGGCTAGGACACTTGAACAGTTAGAGGAAATGGGTGGAGAACTCAACGATTTTGTATCTACTGCTAAGTAAGTACACTAAGATATCTCATACTTTGAACGGCAAAGCAGATTCTCATGAAATACCTCTGTAGGTAATAGATGCATTAGTTCATTAGAATTCTTCTATAAAGAAAGATATAGCAGTTAGATATATGAATGCCTTTATGACCAGATGGAAGTATAGATAACAGAAATATGTTGAAGTTATTATCATTATACTTGTAGTTAGTTTATTATATAGATCACAAGATTTTACAATCACAATCATATAAAATATTATGGCCAGAAATATTTAAACTGTACCAAGGGTTTCATTTCCAAAAATATTTGCATGTGAAATATATTTCTATGAAAAATGACAAATCTATCTATTGCTTCTGGTTGAATTTCGTATAAACATTTTTCGGATATGTGTGTATGTTACAAAAAAAATTTTTTTAAATTTGCATCAGTTCAAGAAAAATAGTTAAAATCTTCATGTCGCAAAATTATGGTCCATATGAAATTTTTGGCACATGTGGCATGAACAATAAAGCTGGTTTTATGCCATTTACTGTTTCTTGCCTACTAATTGCAATCCTTTATTTAGAAAAATTTGTGTCTCAACTGTTATTGTAATATAGTGTTGTGAGGGGGGGATATTTTCTAAGTAATTGTAACACTGTTTTACATATTACAGAGGTGTTATACAAACAGTGGTAGAGAAACATTTCCCAGCTCCTGACAGGAAGAAATTCTTTGATATATTTGGTCTTGGTAACAACTCCTTGTATAATAATGAAGATAGCAACTCATCTACTGGATATAACAACAACAAGAGAAAGAAAGGTAGGCTTGAAAAGTGTTTACAAATTTCATTTTTACCTCGTCTATTTCAAAGAAAAAGTTGAGATATTATGAACGCTGTGACAGCAGCATTGTCATCATGCAAAAACTTTAATGTAGTCCATTATTCAAATGTTTCAAAAGTAATTAACATGAAATTTGGAGTTCTTGATTATCATGACAAGGTGCAATTGTAAGACAAGGGGCATAATTCTGAAAGGAATATTTTTGGAGTTATGCCCCTTTTTAACTTAGAATTTTTAACAGAATAGCGTTAATAAGGCATTCCTTTATAACAGTTGTCCTAGCACTGGGTTATTAATTAGCAAGAAATACAAGGAGTAATATTTACTCATGAACCAAATTGAAATCATTCTAGTTTCTGGGTGTTTTGAGATTGAATTCATGACTATTTGACACAATAATTTATATCTAAGCTCATTACTGGCAAAATGACTTAAATTAGAATTGCAATATTCATGTAGCTTGACTCATTGGTAAAGCTAATGAACAATGGTATATTTAAAGATTGTTAGTTTTTTACCTTTTTTGATGAACAGATTATAAGGGTTAAAACTTATATGAATTATCATAAAAAAAATTTAAATAATTTTAGATTTATTATTAAAATGTGTATATTTGTTTAACAGAACAAGCAGCAGGTAATCCAGCTAAGAGATCTAAGGGAGATTCTGATACAGACTCGTCCTCTGACAGCGAGGAAAGTGAGCTAGACTTTGGTCTCAGTGATACGTCTGATGATGATGACGATTCTGATGACAACGATAATTTTAATCCATTTGGCAGTGGTTCGGACAGTGATGATGGTACGTAGTTGTTATGCCCCCACAATGTGGGAGCATATAGCGTTGCACTTGTCCGTCCGTCAGTCCGTCCGTACGTCCCGAAATCTTGTGAACGCAACTCCTCTTAAACCGGATGGCAGATTTTGCTTAAACTTACAGGGATGAACAACCTTAATGTGTAGATGGTAGTAAAGGAAGGAATTTTTGCTGCGACCAAATTTAACAGAATTATGGCCCTTTGTTGATTTTTTCACTAGATACTTTATAGAAATTTTTGTGAACGCAACTCCTCTTAAACCGGATGGCAGATTTTGCTTAAACTTACAGGGATGAACAACCTTAATGTGTAGATGGTAGTAAAGGAAAGAATTTTCGCTGTGACTAAATTTTACAGAATTATGGCCCTTTGTTGATTTTTTTCACTATATACTATGTAGAAATTTTGTGAATGCAACTCCTCTTAAACCGGATGGCAGATTTTGCTTAAACTTCCAGGGATGAACAACCTTAATGTGTAGATGGCAGTAAAGGAAGGAATTTTTGCTGTGACCAAATTTAACAGAATTATGGCCCTTTGTTGATTTTTTCACTCTATACTATGTAGAAATTTTGTGAACGCAACTCCTCTTAAACCAGATGGCAGATTTTGCTTAAACTTACAGGGATGAATAACCTTAATGTGTAGATGCTAGTAAAGGAAGGAATTTTTGCTGCGACCAAATTTAACAGAATTATGGCCCTTTGTTGATTTTTTCACTCTATACTATGTAGAAATTTTGTGAACGCAACTCCTCTTTAACCGGATGGCAGATTTTGCTTAAACTTACAGGGATGAACAACCTTAAGGTGTAGATGGCAGTAAAGGAAGGAATTTTTGCTGCGACCAAATTTAACAGAATTATGGCCCTTTGTTGATTTTTTCACTTTATACAATGTAGAAATTTTGTGAACGCAACTCCTCTTAAATCGGATGGTAGATTTTGCTTAAACTTCCAGGGATTAACAACCTTAATGTGTAGATCGTAGTAAAGGAAGGATTTTTTGCTGCGACCAAATTTAAGAGAATTATGGCCCTTTGTTGATTTTTAGTTTTCAACTTGTGGCACATGTAGTCCAAAAAATATTTGACCTAGAGTCATAAGATTGACAGAACAGTGGCGTGTGGGGGCATCAGTGTCCTATGGACACATTTCTAGTTTTTATTTGTTTTCGATAATCTAGAAAATATTGTTTTACTATTTTTGATTAACTGAATATAAGGGAAATTTTTATAAGGGTTTAATCAAAAAGAATGATTATAACAATTTTGAAATCATTTTAGATCTATTATGTAGTAATTGTAAAGTTTCTGTGCCTGTTTTAAACATTAAGTTTCTGTCTGTAATGTCATTATCTCAATATGACATTAGAAGCCTAATCTTTTCAGCATTTAAAAACTAGATTCATTCTGATTATGTTTCATCAATTTATTATCCCATTCATATTATTAAGATCATGAAATTTATCAGGAAACATGCTCATTACAGATCTGACCCTTACAGAAATAATATAATTTGTGTACTTACAGATCCCTGGTTAAAAAAGCAGAAAGTAAAGGCAAAAGAGAAATCAAAAGTGAAAGAAAAGAAGAAAAAAGAGAAAAAGAAGAAGAAAGAGAAGGAAAAAAAGAAGGATGAGGATGAACAATTTACAAGTGCCCTTGCAGCAGCTGGTCTTCTTAATAAAAACAACCAAAATTCTGGTTCTGGAAATACCAACGGAAATCCAAGTATGTGATATTTCTGGAATTTTTAATTCTGTTCGACTTTGAAAAATTACTTGAAATTTACTTGAAACCACATAGCAGGTTTGTTTTGTTTTTCAAAGTGATTTAACCTAATATAAGTTACCTGGGCAGGGCAGAAATTACATTTTACATGTCAATATTATATTTTTCAAGCTCATTTAATTTAGAGGTGTCATTTAGAGGTGTACAGTTTGTTATCATTTATCTGCTAGAGCCAAAACTACATAACTTTTACCATTGGTATAGAGCTAGGTCAGCCTAAACATCCATGCAGTCTGACCAGACAACATGGTCTTTATAACTGATGTTATTGTAATTGCATAGGCATGTTTAGTCTTGCATTCAAATTTTGCAGACTACTTCACTTCTATTTATACTATGGCAGCTTGAGTATTATAGTTTGATACCAAAATATTGTAACTTCAGATCTTCCACATTCAAAGCGATGCATATCCATTGCACACATTCAGCAGGTTGTGTGCTATAAGTTTTACTGATTTTAGTCTGTATTTCGATATAAATGATGTGTGATAATTGTAGGTGGTGACGCTATAGACAAGGCATTCCAGATGAAGAGAGAATTAATGGAGAGAATAGAGTTACTTGGTGGCAAACTTCCAGCAAACACACTCGACCAACTTATTGATGATCTAGGGGGCACTGATAATGTAGCCGAGGTAAACTTGAATATAAAACAATCTGTAACAAATCGTGATTATATTCAGGCTTTCTACTGGTCCCTACTTTTCCTACTTTTTCCTACTTTTTCCTACTTTTTTCTTTTGATCCCTACTTTGCCCTACTTTTTTCTGAAATAGCCCTATTATCCCTACTTTTTCATTTTGAAATGAAATGGAAAAAAAGAAGATATTTAAAATGGTATTTCAGTTGTATTTTCAGTTGCAATTGATGAGTAGTTCAGGTGTGTTAGTGTCTCCTTGTGATGTCCATCCTTGAAAGACTTATGGTCAGAGCTGCATTACTGGTACTGGTACTGCAGTACGTACTGCAGCGATTTTGCAAGTACTGGTACTGATACTGAATTACTCTTACAAAAATTTTGCTACTACTCAGGTACTGGTACTGCATTACTGTCTTAAAAAAGTGGTACTGCTACTGCATTACTAGGCAGTATTTTTGGTTTTGATAAAAAATGTCATTATTTTTACTCATAAAGTAAAGCTGTAAATTCCATGTATTGTTTTATTTTTGTGAAAAAAGTAAGTTATCAAATCTATAAATAATTTGCTGCAATATTCCTTCAAATGTTAACATAGTATTCATCATAAAAAAGCACCAAAGACTTAAAGTAAAATTAAATTGAGATAAACAGAGTCAATAACTCTTTACTGGTAAAATATCCTTATTGCAATCTTATTACTTTGTATTTACTAGTAAAAAAAAGAGCAAAATAAACACTAATTAATTACTGCTATTCTAAATAATCATATTTCAAGTGATATTGTTAGCACCATAAAAAGTTATTTACTTGGTATAAATTGAACAGAGGTGTGAAGGTGTAAAAGGCAACAAAAAGACTGGTGGGTTTAAAATGTAAGATTAGGCCATCCTTAAAAAAATGTTTGTTTGCAGTAACGCGACCGACTCACAAAATTTGCCCCTACTCAAATTTTTTTTCTCATGGTCTGAATAATTTTTTTTTTTTTTGAATCAGAAAATTATGCCTTGTGCTTTGTTTTCGTTCTTTTAAAGGTTAATAGAAGAAATAAAATGTAGTTCTTATTAAATTAGAATTCAGTTATCAATTTATTAATTGTTACCAGGTTATCAAAGCAAATATTGTCCAGCATTTTGAAATTCCATGTTTATTTGGGAGTACAGTTCAATAAAAAAAAAAAAAAAAAAAAAAAAAAAAAAATAAAAAAAAAAAAAAAAAAAAAAAATCGACCTACCTACCCACCTTGAAAATTCTGGGTCGGGTTACTGCAAACAAACATTTTTTTAAGGATGGCCTTATTGCATTGTATTACAGTTTACTGGTTACATAACAATAACATATGACATGAATATATGATGATTATTGTTTGTAAAAAGTATGTTTGTTCATTTAAGTTGTAAAAATGTAATGTCAACTTTAAAGTAAATGATTTTATTTCTTTGTTGAATAATGTTTGCAATTATTTTGAATGACACTGTGTATTTATTCAAACTTTGATGAATATATAAAAGTGTTAGTACTGGTACTTAATTACTTCCCCCAAAAAAGTACTGGTACTGCAGTACCAAGCTAAAATCAAGTACTAGTATTGGAAATGGTACTGCAAAACTTGGCAAGTACTGGTACTGGTACTTAAGTACTACACCCTTAGTACTGATGCAGCTCTGCTCATGGTGTCTTGGCAAAACATTCAGCAACATTCTGCCTATGAGGTGCCTGTCTTTCAAGCATGGACTGAACTGAAGATACACACAGCCTGATGTGGTCTTGGTGATGGTATGTTTTGCTAATTATTAACTAAAACAGTAAGAAATTCCTACTTTATCCCTAGTTTTTAACATCAGAAATCCCTACTTTGCCCTACTTTTTGGTAAAAAAATGCCCTACTTTTTCCCTAGTTTTTTTTGTAGAGGCAGTAGAAAGCCTGTATATTGTTAAAGTAGAATTACTGTAGTCGAATAAGTGACATGTAGGTGATTATTTAGAACTAATAAGTTTATGTCATCATGTCATTAGTGTAGTATGTTCAGGGAATTGAAAAAAAAAATATTACCATACAAAAATGTTAGTTTTAAACTCAAGTTATTAAAATATTCAAAAGTTTATTAAATAATATTTAATTCAACAACAATGACAACAAAATTGTGTTTGCTCTAAGGCCTCCAGTTCATTTAAAGAATATATTCAATTACAAACAGAGCAATACAGTATAGCATGTGTATAAACAAATATACATGATTTGCCTTTTTGAAATGAGATACTTCTACAGCATGTCAATTTTATAAAATAACAATTTTATTTATAAGTCTTGTATGTTGCTTTTTTTTCCGAATGTGTCAAATATAAAGTCAGAAGCATAAGAAACAAGGACTGTAAAATTTCTAACTAAGTTTATTTGGATTATAAAAGTTATGAATGTTATTGTACATGTTTTAATGACTTACTGTTACATAGATGACAGGCAGGAAGGGTCGTGTTGTTTGTACAGATGAAGGCATCAGTTACGAGTCTCGCAGTGAGAATGATGTACCCCTTGAAATCCTTAATCTGACAGAGAAACAGAGATTTATGGACGGTGAGAAGGTAAGGACTGCACTTGTATTTGTTGATGTGAATTACAAGTAGCTTCATACTGTATAATCAAGTGAATAAGCGGGGCAGTATTAATTCTGAATCATGTAACCATTGACATAAAGAACAGAAAATTCTGTTCTTTTAAATTTTAAAAATGGTCTTATTTTAATAGCGTGTTGGTCTTGATTCTGGGGATTCTACTGTTGTTTATTTTAGATTTAATGTTAAAGTACTTGTAGTCAAATTCAGTATTGTTGTTGCTTATTTTATACAACAGTATTTAAAGCAGTGAACTCTTAAAATTTGTAAAACTAAATTTATCTTGTCTTGAATTGAAATTACAGTATTTTAATATGTATATGGAGATTGTAAAAACATTGCATATTTTAACAAGTTTGCCAATAAGTATTGTAAAAAGTACTGTATTTTAAACAGAATTTGAGGTGTGATATAGTATATTACATATAATTCAGCTTTTCGAAAAATTTATATTACGAGCTGCGCCATGACAAAACCAACATAATAGGTTTGCAACTTAACTTAATAGAGTTTGTAAGCGAACAGCATGGATCCTGATCAGACTGCGCGGATGCGCAGGCTAGTCTGGATCCATGCTGGTCGCAAACACACTATGTTGGTTTTGTCATGGTGCAGCTTTTATTAAGTTATATACTGTATTACAGAACATAGCTATTATATCGGAGGCTGCTAGCTCTGGTATATCACTACAAGCTGACAGACGTGCCATTAATCAGAGGAGAAGAGTCCATATAACGTTAGAGTTACCATGGAGTGCTGACCGTGCCATTCAGCAGTTTGGTATGCTATTTTTAGATTTATTAATTTTAGTGTAGGGAAGATTGTAGGGAAGCCTCTTTTTATAGTCACCATATTCCAAAAAAAAAATGTTTGTTTTACATCTTCCAATATAAAATGAAAAGAAAACTATTAAAGATTCTGTAATAGAGTAGTTTCACATACCTTATCTGCCTATACAGTAATAAAGTATGAAACTAAGTTATCAAGGAAGAGATGAAGAACAACACATCAATAATAAAGTATGTATGAATTATACTATTAGCTACATGTACTATTGGGGCGTCCGTGGCGGAGTGGTTAAGGTCGTTGACTTCAAATCACTTGCCCCTCACCACTGTGGGTTCGAATCCAGACAGGGTCTTTGGATTCTTTCATGTGAGGAAGCTATCCAGCTAGCTTACGGAACGTCGGTGGTTCTACTCGGGTGCCTGTTCGTGCCTGAAAAAATGCACGGAGGGGCACTTGAGGTCTTACTCCACCAGTAAAGCTGGAACGTCGCCAAATGACCTATACTGTGTCGGTGTGACGTAAAACCCAAATCCAACAAACATGTCCTATTTGTGCATAATATAATCAAATATAACTTTGTTAATATATGTGTATTTTTGTCAACTTGTCTATGTAGAATATTGTTTTAACTTAAGGTCGAACACACAGATCTAATCAGGTGTCTGCACCAGAGTATTTGTTTATGATCTCAGAACTGGCTGGAGAACAAAGATTTGCTTCAACTGTTGCTAAGAGACTTGAAAGCTTGGTAAGTGGAATGTATCCGAGAAGAAACACACTGTGTATAAATTTATAACAAATTTTGAACCTACATTCACAAACCTGCTAGTATATAGTCAGCCCAGCCTACACTTCTATTTTGTCTTATTGCTGTGTATGTTAAGCTGTTCAGTAATTCTTTATTGTTATTGAGATCACTGAGTCTTAACTATGGATATTAGTTTGGCAAATCTATATCATACATTCATGAAGTTCTGTTTGTGTTATTTATTTCTAAAATATCAAATCAGTACTAAGTGAGTACAGTATTAATGCTGGATGTAGGCCCCCTAATTAACTTAATTCGCAAATGATAGTTGTGGCAAAAAAAAACAACTTTCAATATATAAATCACCCTTCATGTAAGAAAAGCCTGTCTGAAGTAATGAAATTGCATGTATACTAGAAAACATAATTCAGTTTTAAAATGTTGAAATTTTAACAAAATATTCTTAAAATTACAATTATAATTTCAGGGTGCTTTAACTCATGGTGATAGAAGAGCTACAGAATCCAGAGATCTGAGTAGATTTAACTTTGATAATAAGGTAACATAACTTTCATTACTTTTATTTAATGAAGTTCTTCTTTTGTTGGAAGTGTTTTCTTTGTACTTTGACATTATGTAAAGGAGTCAGTGTCTTATCACTTGTATGGCATTCTGAATTAAAGGAAATTTAAGAAAGAAAGAAATCAGGCAAAGTGCTTAAAAATAAAGAATATTAAGGAGTACTAATTTTGAAACCTGATATGATTGTTATGCACATTTCCAAGTTGTTGTTTATACAAGTCTTGAAGGGCTGACAGGTCACTTGCTGAAATTTATGGTGTAATGTAAAGATTGGGAGTATATTTTAAGATAAAGTTATACAAGAGGATTGGAATTTTGTTGTAAATGAATGATTTCTTGAATCAAATTATGACAATATATATTAGTTTATAAATGTGTATTACAGTATGGTAAGTTAGCACTGGAGTCAGTGATGAAGACAGTATGTGGCTTTGAACAGCGATTTGTAGAACTACCAGAATACAAGGGACATTTCTTTAATGGTAATTTCTTTTTTTTTTCATTTTTTCTCAAGTTTTTTAATATATGATTATTGTGAATTGGTCTATAATGAACGTTCTTTAATACAACAAGTATTTACGTATCAAATTTGGTATCGGACGTGACCAGAAACTACTTAAGAATTATATATGGATGTTCTTGGCTTTAACAAGTTTGAGTTACTTGATCCAATGTTACATATTTAGGTCTAGTTACTGGATTTTTTAATGTCACCTCAAACTTTGCTAAAATTTTAGAATATTACTTGTAAACATAATCAACACACTTGCTATACTAATTTGTTTATTGTACTTTTCCTTCTTTGAACTTGAAAACTGTCTATGCCAAAATTATTCAGCCGAATATTTATGTCAAGTAATATGTCATATATTACAGGATAGATGTGAATACATATGTAAAATTTTATGTTAAATGTTTATCATCCTGCTCAACTGGATTATAAACTTCTGTATGTCTTTTTCATAACAGATGCTGTGAAGGCAATGGTAGGTGTTGGGATAGTTGTACAAGATAGACCTGGATCCGTTCCTATCCTTGATAAAGGTAAGTTATTAATGTTCTAATAATGTATCTAACACTCTGTTCTTTATACAAGGATGACTGTATAGTGTTTTATATGGTGCCAATATAAGCAAGTTGACAGAGCTGTTAATATTTTATGTATACTTACTTATTTTCCTCATGAAACATTGATTTTTTATCTCCCTGTGTTTTTAGCTCACCTGTCACAAAGTGACAGGGTGAGCTTTTGTGATCGCTTTTCATCCGGCGTCCGTAAACTTTTGCTTTAAATGACATCTCCTCATAAACCACTGAGCCAATTTCATCCAAACTTCACAGGAATGTTCCTTTGGTGGTCACCTTTAAAAATTGTTCAAAGAATTTAATTCCATACAGAACTCTGGTTGCCATGGCAACCGAAAGATCTTCTTTTAAACAACCCTAAGAGCTAGAGCTTAGATATTTGGCATGAAACATCTTCTAATGGGTGTCTACCAAGTTTGTTCAAATAAAAGCCCTGGGGTCAAAATTGGCCCCGCCCCAGGGGGTCATAGATTTTCCCTATATGCATATAGTAAAAACTTAAAAAATCTTCTTTTAAAGATCCCAAAGAGCTAGAGCTAAGATATTTGGCATGAAACATCTTCTAGTGAGTGTCTACCAAGTTTGTTCAAATAAAAGCCCTGGGGTCAAAATTGGCCCCGCCCCTGGGGGTCATTGATTTTCCCTATATGCATATAGTAAAAACTTAAAAAATCTTCTTTTAAAGAACTGTAAGAGCTAGAGCTTAGATATTTTGCATGAAACATCTTCTAGTGAATGTCTACCAAGTTTGTTCAAATAAAAGCCCTGGGGTCAAAATTGGCCCCGCCCCAGGGGGTCATTGATTTTCCCTATATGCATATAGTAAAAACTTAAAAAATCTTCTTTTAAAGAACCAAAAGGGCTAGAGCTAAGATATTTGGCATGAAACATCTTCTAGTGAGTGTCTACCAAGTTTGTTCAAATAAAAGCCCTGGGGTCAAAATTGGCCCCGCCCCAGGGGGTCATTGATTTTCCCTATATGCATATAGTAAAAACTTAAAAAATCTTCTTTTAAAAAACTGTAAGAGCTAGAGCTTAGATATTTGGCATAAAACATCTTCTAGTGAATGTCTACCAAGTTTGTTCAAATAAAAACCCTGGGGTCAAAATTGGCCCCGCCCCAGGGGGGTCATTGATTTTCCCTAAATGCATATAGTAAAAACTTAAAAAATCTTCTTTTAAAGAACCTTAAGAGCTAGAGCTTAGATATTTGGCATGAAACATCTTCTAGTGAATGTCTATCAAGTTTGTTGAAATAAAAGCCCTTGGGTCAAAATTGGCCCCGCCCCAGGGGGTCATTGATTTTCCCTACATGCATATAGTAAAAACTTAAAAAATCTTCTTTTAAAGAACCCAAAGAGCTAGAGCTAAGATATTTGGCATGAACTATGTTCTAATGGGTGTCTACCAAGTATGTTCAAATAAAAGCCCTTGGGTCAAAACTGGCCCGCCCCGGGGGTCATTGATTTTCCTTATATGTGTATAGCAAAAACTTAAAAATCTTCTTTGAAAAAACCCAAATAGCTAGAGTTTAGATATTAAGCATAAAACATCTTTAAGTAAATATCTACAAAGTTTGTTCAAATAAAAGCCCGGGGGTCAAAACTGGCCCTGCCCCAGGGGTGTCATTGTTTTAACTATATGTGTATAGTAAAAACTTAAAAAATCTTCTTTTAAAAAACCCAATGAGCTAGAACTTAGATGTTTAGCATGAAACATCTTCTTATGGGTATTTACCAAGTTGGTTCAAATAAAAGCCCTTGGGTAAACATTGGCCCGGGGGGGGGGGGGCTATATATAGGTGAGCGACCTCAGGGCCATCATGGCCCTCTTGTTGGGTATTTAATGTGGTTCCAACCAAATTATTGGTAACCATTTCTTTTATATATTTAAATTAAACAATTGAAGGGGTTTCTCGGTAGCAAAATGTTTAAGTTTGTAACTTCAAATTAGTTGCTCTTTCAACACCTAATATATTGTTTATAACTTTTTAATTTTTTCACTTTCAGATTACAACAATATCAGCAAGTTTTTGAATCGTATCTTGGGATGTGAAGTGACGCTACAGAATGCCTTGTTTAAATATTTCTCAAGTTCCCTTACTGCAGTTATTCTGGAGGCTAAGAGAAGTGGTCGTTGGGACATGGGAATTATGGGTAAGATTATGTTTCTATTTGTCTTGTTTTATATATGTTGTGAACATCGTTTTACCCTTACGCTGCTGAATTTTTTATCCCAAGCAACAAAACGCCATCTTTTGTTATATTCATTTTCAGTTTATAGGGTGTATAAAATGAAAACTTGTTAAATCTTTGGTATAGATGTTATTCATTCGAGTTCCAGCATAAAATTTTTATTCGTCTAGCTGTCCAATATACTGTATATATTCTTTATTAATCATTTCAAGAGATTTGTGATTTTGGAAGAAGGAATGGTTTATGCTATGTCAAACACACTTGAGAATGTTTTGCTCAAATTTTTTTTTTATGTTTTATTACAATTAGATCCTTTGGTTTAAACATATTTATTAAGCCGATTGCAAAAGAGGTTCTTGCAACTTAAATTAATCACTTTTGAGTCTGCTTCCTGGAACCAACTATTACTGGTGTCGTATGAAAAACATGGTCGTGACCCAAGTAGGTCGCTGGTTTGAGAGGCAGACACCTTAACCACTAGACCGCTCCCCTTTAAATCCTTTATTCATGTAATGTCAAAGATGTCATTAAATAATGCTTTGTTTGCTGTTTTACATTCATTTTATAAATTATAGATCTTGGATCTGGTGGTGAGAGTGTGAAGAAGCTGGAAACAAGAATATTTGTGGGTAATACTGCAACTAATACAGCTAAAACTGAACTTGTCACCGTAAGTTTACCATCTCTTTAAAGTGTGTAAAGCTATATATAATGAACTATTTTTTTTTGTAAAATTTATAAACAGTAAAAGTATATATTTTTAATTATCTTCTTGTTGATTCTTGAAAGATTTGCAACAAAGAATATCTGTATTATTTAACACATATTGTCACCATAGTGCCATATGAGATAAACTCGTATTAAAGTTAGAAGGACATATTTCATTACTGCACTAAGGTGACGAATTATGAATATTGTATATGAACAGATCAAGATGTTCTTGAACAAAATATGTTTAAGTGATAGGTAGCGTTTTAAAGTTTAGCAGTTATTTCCTTAATGTGCCACTGTTTCTTCTGGAAATATAATTGATAAGTAACATATTTCTTTCATACAGGCATTTTGGAAGTTTTCTTTTTGAAAATTCAAATAATAATTTATACACTTTAAAGCCATTTTTAAACATCAACACCATTTATATTTTCTGTTAACAAACAAAGAATAGTCATGTTTATATGTATGCTTAAATGATCTTTACATTGCTCACAAGTACATATTTTTGCCCAGATAATTACGTATCGGCGAAAACTTTGTGAGGGACGATTTGTTGTTTAAGTTTTGGGAAAGACTTGTTTTAATGTATAATTTCTAGTAAAGCCAATTAGTTAGATATTTTAGTCCAAAAATTCAAACTTGGAAGTACATATACAGTATGTATTTTGTATATTACAGGTTTCAGTGGAGAGAGGAATGTCATTCCCATCAGCATATGATCTTTACCATAAATATACAGGTGTCAATGATGGGTTCTATCTCTCACTACAGGTAAATATTTCATAAGTATCTCATTTTATAATTGATGTATAGATAAAAGTAACATTTATCTTTTTGTCTCCTGTATCATATAATATTAACTGTCTTTTATATATAACTTGCCTTTTCGTTGCATGGTTAAAATTTCTTAGTCTGGCTTTTTTTCCCCACCCAAAATAATTGCTAACAAGCAATGTTACCCCGAGGTATATCCCCACCAGTAAAGCTGGAAAGTCACCATATGACCTTATCTGTGTTGATGCAACGTAAAACCCAACAAAGAAAAGAAAGAAAACCCGATATCTAAAGGCATTGATAAATAAAGTTTAATCTTTATTGAAAGTTGTCAGCTTTGTGCTCCTCTAAAGCAGTCCTATGTTTTAAATGCAACTATATCAAGCAAGATGTAGATTATCTTTTATAGGAATTAAAGTTGTAAGCTGTATAGTAAAGATATTTTTTAAACATTACAATGTTTTTATTGATTGACATTTTGTTATATTTAGGACCGATCAGTTCATAGATTTGCCATTGTAGCAGCATACCAAGGTGCATATAACAAAAAGAAGGAGAAACTATATACTATATACCGACCCAATACTGGTCTGCAACCACGCCAGGAAACTCTTGATGAAATCAAAAAGAAGTATAAAAAGGTATGATATTTTATAAATCTTCTTTTGAAGTTCTGCGTCTCTGTTGATGTTACATTTATACATTTAGTAATAAAGACTTGATAAATGGTATGACCCATTTGAAATGCTTCTAAGTTTATATAGACAATGGTTATATAGCAAATCTTTGGATTATTCTTGGCTATAGAACATCTTAAACTGTTTATAATGAAATAATGATACTGCTTATTTCCTGTCTATGATTAAATTGCGATTATTTCATAAATTTGAGGCAGCCTTGAGTATATATGATATAAACAACGTGATAGTCCAATGACAATCCATATTTATTTCTATATAAATATTGGAATTCATTATGATGTCTAGGTTTTGGTGACTTATAGGTCCATTGGGCTAGATGCTTTCAATACATCTAAATTACTGTATATTTGTAACATATTGCATATGTCACTATTTTTTTTTTATTATTAATTATGAGAATTTTTGTATCACATGTGCAGATCCATATTATATGTGTAATTTATTGTATATTGCTGTATTTATATTCATGAAAGATTCTGTATTTATTTGACAAAGTTTTTTATTCCCGCGTTAACGTCATGTTCTGTTTTTGCGAATAGTTAAACGGACGTTTCGTCATTTGTTATTTTATAAACGTCAATTTTTTGCTGAAGAAGACTAAACGTCGAAAGCTTAAGAAAAGCGTTTGTTTTTATTGAACTGATTATATATGTCCCTATAATAAATTTTATACTTAATTACTTACTTAAAACAAGATAGTGCAATGACAATTCATGTTACAAACATGATAGTCCAATGACAATCCATATTACAAATGATAGTCCAATGACCATGTTACAAACATGATAAATCAATGACAATCCATATTGCAAACATTATAGTCCAATGACAATCCATATAACAATATGATAGTCCAATGACAATCCATGTTACAAACATGATAAATCAATGACAATCCATATTACAAACATGATAATCCAATGACAATCCATATAACAATATGATAGTCCAATGACAATCCATATTACAAACATGATAAATCAATGACAATCCATATTACAAACATGATAGTCCAATGACAATCCATATTACAAACATGATAAATCAATGACAATCCATATAACAATATGATAGTCCAATGGCACTTCACGTTACCACATGATAGTTAAATGACAATCCATATTTATTACAACATGATAGTCCAATGACAATCCCTGTTACAAACATGATAGTCCAATGACAATTCATGTTACAAACATGATAAATCAATGACAATCCATATTACAAACATGATAATCCAATGACAATCCATGTTACAAATATTACACTATGATAATCCAATGACAATCCATATAACAATATGATAGTCCAATGACAATCCATATTACAAACATGATAAATCAATGACAATCCATATAACAATATGATAGTCCAATGACAATCCATGTTACAAACATGATAAATCAATGACAATCCATATAACAATATGATAGTCCAATGACAATCCATGTTATCAATGACAATCCATATTACAAACATGATAATCCAATGACAATCCATGTAACAACATGATAGTCCAATGACAATCCATATAACAATATGATAGTCCAATGACAATCCATGTTACAAACATGATAAATCAATGACTATCCATATTACAAACATGATAGTCCAATGACAATCCATATTACAAACATGATAAATCAATGACAATCCATATAACAATATGATAGTCCAATGGCAATCCATATTACAAACATGATAAATCAATGACAATCCATATTACAAACATGATAATCCAATGACAATCCATGTTACAAATATTACACTATGATAGTCCAATGACAATCCATATAACAATATGATAGTCCAATGACAATCCATGTTACAAACAAACAATGACTATCCATATTACAAACAAATCAATGACAATCCATGTTACAAACATGATAAATCAATGACAATCCATATTACAAATATTACACTATGATAGTCCAATGACATTCCATGTTACAATATGTTAGTCCAGTGACAGGGATTCTGTAATGAGCTGGCTTACAGAAAGCAAGTGGTTCTACTGTTGTGCCTAAAATATTGCAGCAAGACTCACTGGAGGTCTTCCTCCACTACTGAAGCTGGAAAGTCACATTATCTTCTTTACAGTGACATTGTCACTCAAAATCCAACAAGATAAACCAACAAAGAACGGACAGAGTATTATCTACTGATAAGAAGAGTGATAAAATGCTGGATACAGACTAAATTGCTTACCTCTCAAATAATCCAAAATTAAATATTGTCATTAAAAATGTCTGAATCCTTGAGCACATAAAGAAGGTAACACGTAAATATATTATTTGTTGTTTTTCAGGTTTTACCTGATGAGGCTCAGAGGTACTGGGAAGAACAGTACAACTTCTCTGCCACTATGTGTAGCCATGCCTACTGGTAAGGTTTTAAAATCTCCTTTTATGTTATCACCAACATGTTCTGTCTTTAGTTACTGAAACCAACTTAAACAAACATGATAACACTCTTAATATATAAATTAATTTGTATGTCTTTCACTGAGAATAAAACTGATTTTTTTTTTAAGTAGGGAGAGACCTCCTTGGCTGAGTGGTTCATGTAACCCCTCTCAACTGTGAGTTCTGATCCTGACAGGGACTTTGGATTCTTTCATGTGTGGAAGTTATCCAGCTACCCTACAGTAGGTTGGTGGTTCTACTAAGGTGTCTGCTTGTGCCTGAAATAATTCATGATCTGAAAATTGGAGGTCTTCCATCACTGGTAAAACATGAAATTCACTGTATGACTGTTACGGTATTGGTGCGACTTAAAATAAAAAACAAGCTATAGACCTACCGTACTCCATGAAGCAAAAATGTAAGAGCTTGTACATCAACCAGGAATGCAATATATCATTTGTACCAGATTTTAATAAGAAATGTTAGCTATTAATCTGTGCTAAAGACTTGTCCTGTAACATTCTACTGCCTGTTTAATGTATATTATTATTAGGATAGTAGAATGTTCATAAAGTCAGATTTGCTGTAGATTGCTAACACATTGTAGTGTTTAAAATTACTAATATAGTGTATTGCTTATAGGAGATGACATAGCTTGCAACTTTTAGAATGATATTGAGAGCTGTACAACTTTCTTATTGCGACGGACGCGCCCTCAGGCGCGTTCAGAGCTAAGTCATCTACATGGGATTTCGTCTGCTACACTCGCGCAAAGTGTCCTCAACCGATTAACAGCCCAAGAAAAAGTACATGAATTTGATCCTTTAAAACTCCCATACTATGTCGGGATATCTTAAAATCTTCCATATTTAGCCTTTTCAATTTCAAATTAAGTTATCCAAGTTAAAATATGGACGTATATGATTGATAAAAACGTTGTAGTCCCGTAGTATTATTGCGCAATTATGCAAATTACTGCCGAAACGATTTACCGCTGTCGAAAAAGTAGGACAACAAATTATACTATAATAAAGGTGTAAGCTCTGAGTTCCAAGAAATTATTAGTAGGAAATAAATATTTCTACATTATACAAAACATTATTATTAAACAAATCAAAAGTTTTTTTGGACTCTAGAATAACTCGCGCATTAATAAAAGAAGAACTATTTTCGTGACTCATACCGCGGGTTTAGCTGAATATTCAGCAGTTATTAATAAATTAGATACATTTTCTAGGTCACGATATCAGTTAACCTTCGCTATTCTAAAAATAGATTCTGCTTTACCTGTGCTGATTTTCGGACAGTAGGGAGTACACATTATACATGTTATAAACCAGCGGATACTTACTTTGTTCACATGCAATACTTTTAGAAATTCTATACAATTGTAAGAAGCAAACAAGTTGAAAATGTAATTAAGTGTGAAAATGAAAAGGACAACTAAACACTATAGTGCTTTTAAAAAAAATTGTGACATTTAGATTAAAATAAAAACGATGTGCTCTGGCCCTTGCAAATAAAAAAAATCTAAAAAATACGGTGACTATTAATTGCTGATGATTTTAACCAAAAATATTTTTAATGAGACGTACATATCCAAAAGAAATAAAAATACAAATGACTTATATTTTATTGTCTATATGCCCACTATGTTAAAACACGAAGCAATTCTAAATAACTTTCTCACATGTATAATCACGGATTTATCCGTGGTATAATGTATTATGCTTGAAGTCTATTTGCATGGTTTTATTTTAGAAATATGTCGTTGAAAGTTTTTTTTCCATTTACATATCATTTCTTGGAATAAATCGATAATGACACTGATTTACAAGTTTGACCAGGGTTTTAGGCATATATTTCATTCTGCTTGAAAGTAGAAAATCTGGATTATATCAGATTGGGACACAAAATATATTGCTCCTTGTATGGAACAAATTTTCTCTGTTATATATTTTGTGTTTTATTTTTTATTTTTTCTAAAAAAACCCTAAATGTCTCCCCGGTTGCATGTCCGTCGCATTCAGTGCTGCAGCACTTTGATATATTTGGATTGTTTTATTTCTGTCAGGCGTGGAAGTTGTAAAAAGGTCAGCGTAGGTTTACCATGTGAGATTGGTTTGAGAACCAGGACATATTACGTACTGAGTGGATCGGTTCTCAGCGTGTGGAACAAGGTAGAGATGGTTCTCGGCTCACAACAAGTTCAGACAAAGATGCAGATCATACGTTTACGTACTGATGATAACCAGAGAATCGTTGGTAAGTCATCTTGATGTTTCTGTTCCATCTCAAGAAAGTATTGTGTCCCGTCCGTAACTTTGTCATTTATGAATGGATTTGAAATAATTTTGAATAAATGTAAAGCGTATCGAGATGATATGTTACCCCCAAAGTCCAAGATCTATAGCTGGAAAGTCAAGGTCACATTTTGATAGTAAATCTATTATGTGTGATAAAAATATGAGTGTTTACTTACAGATATAGGATATTTTTTTTCATGATGTATTGAATGAATGTAAAAATGAGTATATTGTCAAAGCATAAAGTAAACATCTTTGTCTGTTAATTGCAGGGAGTTTGATCCCAACAAATGCGGTGGATCCATTGAGCAATGTGCTGTCACAGGAATGCAGTAAGACTTACACCGAGAAACATGCAGGTGAACACCAGCGACCCAAACCAAAGGAGGAATCTACTGCCACAAACAGTATAGGTGCTAAATCTAGTCAAAGTGAACAAAAGCCTGCACAGGCTGTGTACAGTATGCCTGTGTTTGTCTGATAGTATAGTTAATGCATCCTGATGTGTCATTAAAACTATAGTTGTTGCATGTTGATGTGACAGGACATACACAGATACTACTTGTGTGTGGATACGTACGAGACAGATCCTGAATTTGGTTTATGTTTATGAAACATGTTGACAGGGTGTCACAGATTACCTGCAAGGAAGATCAGAGGAAAAATAATGTGAAAGTGTTATAATGCTACTGTTATGATATGAGAATTACTTCAGCCGAATTATGTAAATGTGAGGGGGCGTTTTTATCATCAAAACTATGGTTTGTGTATTTCTAAATGTTAGATACATCTTTTATTGTTACATTTACTTAATGAGATGCAAATATATGATGTATTGAAGTGTGTTGATATGAAGTAGATGGATTGTTATTTTGTTTGCTTGTTGGACACAAACAAGATGTTGCATATTGTTTGAAATATCATGGAGGTGGTTTATTTGACTACGGTGTTGTATGCTAGTGTCATATATTGTACAAAGTCGTTCAGATTATGTTAAAGTGACTGTTTTTATAGATGATCATAAATGATCATGGATGATGTATATTTTAAATAATAAATACATCTTTTATTGTTACATCTACTGCACTATATCTACTAGTCTATAGCTAGTAGATATTATTATATGGCAACATTGATCTGTATATATAATAAGTGGACATTTTACTACATCCTTCCTTATGCAAATATGCCATTAACAGTAATTCCTGTATGTTAATTGTAGTAATAGTAATTAGGAATCCAATTAATTCTCCATGATATTTGTACAGCTCAAGTCTGGCTTATAGATAAGTGGATTTGACTTGGACAAAATGGTGTCTGAATTGAACATTGTCAATACTCTTACATTCATATGAAAACTGAAATAAGCATTATTAGAAATAGCAGATTATAGGGAGTGAGTAATTCTAAACTCATCTAAATAAATATTCTTGCATGCAATTTTTTTATATTTTCTAAAACTCATTAGTTAGATAGGTTTTATATAGAAGATTCATTAAATGAATTTCTGTTAGATTAAGGTCAGTATTATAATGAGAAATATTATATCGTTTAAAATGTTGCATTATTTGGCAGTTACATGTAATATAAAATTTAAATTTCATGCAAAATGTATAGGAAGTTGTCCATATTTTTTCTTGTTTTATAGTTGTACAAGCAGCTGAAACAGTCAACATTTCTGCAGTTTATTCTCATTTAAGCCATACTGTTTTCAGAATTCTAGGTAGTTTATACTAGATTATAGGTGGATTTGATGTGTTACTAAGTCTGTTAAAATTTTGTTCGTAGGAGAAATACAGCTAGAAAGATTAACAAAAGGGTATTGTAATCTAGAATGAGTCAGATTTGGCTCATACTTTTGAGTTTCAAAGGTAATACACTTGAAATAGTTTGGAGTATGAGCAAGTGAATTTAAGAAATAATGAAGAAAAAAGTCTGGTCACTTTTCCGATAGTAATTTACACATGTGTAATAGATCAGAGTAAATGTAAGATAATGTTAGGTATCACATACCCGTGCCGCTTTTGCAACTCCGTAAAAATGGTAGTGCACGACTTTGCTTATATTTTGACGTGAAGTCATCTGTGTTATACAAACATAACGTAAAGAGGTGCTTAATTATAGCGTTACTCTGTAGGTGCGTCAGTAACACAAGAGGATTATTTTCACTGTAAACAGTCCTTATGTTGGTTATGTGATTAATAGAATATTATATTGGTGTAGATTCATTACATACTTTAATTGAACTTGTTGAATGAAATAATATTATGCTTGCCAGAGGCTTGCATGATATAAATTTATACAACTTGTTCAATAAATTCAGTATTGAATCTACACTCATTTAATATCTCTTATATGTAACACATTAACAGTAGTAGAAGTGCTTCCTACGTTTTCTATATATATACATATATATATATAATGCATGCCCATTTAGCACTGTAAATTGCATCTGAAATTGAATGCTTGTTATGATGGTCTGACATGCCTATAAACACTAGTTAAATTCCTAATTAGAAATATTAATTGTGTAATAATGTCAGTTACAGCAGTTGGAATTGATCACTTATTTTTGTATAATTTTTATATAATTGTTGTATCCCAATGGCATTTTCTTCTTTGTGATTTTGCTGTATAGAAGAATTCCAAGTTTGTATAGAGTAAAATTGTTATATAAAATACCTGATTGTTTGTATATGGTAATTAGTTGTTGCTACAGTTACAGAATAGTTACTTGGTCATTTGTTTATATTTGTTAACTTTTGTTTCACTACAACTTTTCCTCTGAAGGTAAATTTGATTGTACGGTCAATACATTTTATTTTTTTACCCTCTCTTAATTCATGTAGGAGTTTCAAACTATCATACCTGTAATTAGTTGCCAAGTAACTGGGATTTGAAAAGGTCATATATTGGGGGTGGGGGAATTATTCATTGATAAGGTGCTTGAATTTGACACTAAAAATTCCATTTGCTACCTTAATACAAATATTAGTTCATTCTGTTCCATCTAAGATATCAATATTTTGTAAAAAAAAAAAAAAATATATATATATATGTTTTTGTCTCACATCTCTCAACTTTTATTGGAAAGGTTGTATGTGTAAATGAATTGTAAGCACCTGTTTTTTTCCTCATCACATCAATTAGAAATGTTGCTATTAATCATCAACATGATAAAGCAGTTATACTGTTTATAGTTTTCAGTGTTTTCCCACAAGTGTTAATTTTTTTTTTTCATTTTTTTTTCTATGTATGTTGAAAAAAATATCCTATTTTGTATAGTGTTACACATAAAAAAATATGAAATGTTGTATTCCATGATTTTTGCCTTAAAGGACATAGTTATTCTTGATGTACAGAATGATTTACCAAAGTCTTTCATTTGTAAGAATAAATGGTGGATTCCCCCTGTATAGTAGACATGCTGTGATTTGTGAACATGAAATTGTAAAGTTTATCTGTAATGACTAGTAAGGTTTTACTTTGAAAGTTCCCAGCATCTGACTAGTCAAAAACTTGTACAAAATAATCAATTTGATTGAAATTAGTATGAAACTGAGAATTGAGAAAAAGTGATGTTACATGTATAAGAGAGGCTGCAAAAATGCCATGGTAAAATATATGGCAAAAGAGCCATTTACCTAAATCTGATTAAACATTGTTAAAACTTACTTCAGAATTATTTTTTTAAAGATGTTAAAATGAATTAACTTTGTTTTTCTTTGAAACTTAGAACCACTGTTTTCCTATAAATTAAGTTGTTAACCCTTGATTCTTTATTGTAGAAAATTTCCAAATATGATAACATTGTGACTTTCACATTACACTTGTTGAATGTACTTTCATCCATTTTTCTCCTACTGTTTTTCATATTGGAATACCCCCCAAAAATGTCTTTTAGGTGCTACTTTGTAGTGTATTCAAAAACATTAAAACAATTAACTTGACAAGAATTAAGAGAGTGAATGTATTCCTGTGTCAAATCACTAATCACAATGTTTGACAAAGGTAATACTTCGATCCTTGATAAAGTCAATCTAATTATTTGTTTAATATTTTAATAATGCACGCACACCATTCCAGTTCTTACAGTATTATAAGTAATCAAGTTATTTCTTAAATCATAATATACACAGTGCTATGGTTATCTAGTCATGAAAATTTTCTTCTTTAATTTTTTAACTGAAATTTTTGGATATTCCAACCAAAAGGCAGGCCCTCAACAAGAAGCCCTCATTTGATTTTCTTTAAAATTACCAAAGACCTCTGGATAAGTGGGTACAAGTCCCACTATTAGAAATACATAAGTGACTTCTTGTAAACAAAACTTCAATTTATTTTGACAAGTCTATTATAATGTTATTTGGAAAATAAATTAAAAAGCAGCTTATTTTGTGCCCATTTCTGTGTTTGTGCTCTATGATTTAAAATGCCAGTTGTTTGTAATTTGGGAGTGTTCTTGTTTTAACATTGAGTTAAATAGTTTTGTTATGTACAGTTTAGTATTCTAATGTTGTATAAACATTATATTGTAAATTTTTTATATTTTGTTATTTTATGTTGTGACAATAGATGGAAGGTCTGATTTCAAAAAATAAAAAGTCCAATTACTAACTTGTATAAATTAAATGAGCCGCGTCATGACAAAACCAAGATAATGGGTATGCGACCAGCATGGATCCAGACCAGCCTGCGCATCCGCGCAGTCTGATCAGGATCCATGCTGTTCACTATCAGTTTCTCTACTTGTAATAGAGTTGGTAAGCGTACAGCATGGATCCTGATCAGACTGCGCGGATGCGCAGGCTGGTCTAGATCCATGCTGGTCGCAAACCTGCTATGTTGGTTTTGTCGTGACGCGGCTCAAATTATCTTTGTCTAAGCACAATTGAAAGCCATTGGTGCCTTGTGGTAACTAAATTAGAAGGGTTTTTTAATTCATTTTAAGGAAGGAAAATTAGCTGAGTGAAGTATATAAATATCATTGTTATGTTTGTAATATAATGATTTTAAATTTTTTCTTTATTTTGAAAATTTATAATTTGAACCTTACCCTGCAGGATAAGCCTTTGCCACCGGTGTATAGTCGTGTCAACTTGCAAAACAATGCAGTCTGACCAGGCTGTAAACTGTTGGCTGACAAACTTGATATACCCAAAACTCATAATGGACAGTTCCAAAAATGGAAGCTGGACAAGTCCATTTAAGTATTTTAACAGGTTAAACTATTTGACTGCTACCAGCCATAATAACTTGTTTATGCTATGCCAAGCTAGCACTTCAGCATCATCACAAATTTTACCATTTAAACATTGAATTTCATTAAATATTCGAAACTTATTTAATATTTATGGAAAGTTTCATATTCATGGCTGGGCAAGTTCATTTAAAAACAGTTAAAGATTTAAAGATGAAAGTGTTAATTTTAGATAGGGTAGTACACTACAGTCAGATTATTATAGCATTGCTTATTTCTTATTAAAAAAAAAACAAATATGCTTTATGTACATGCAAGTATCAACAATTAGTATCAACAATTTCACATGGAGCTTAATACTTCACACTCAAAATTTGTTTTTCTGCATTTCACTTTTGGATAATATAATTACATATTCAAGAAAAATAGCATTACTAAGTTTTTCTGTATTTTGCCATGTTAATTTTATCAAATGTCTAGCATGTTGTTTTTTTTGTTGATTTTTTTTATGACTTACAGTTTCAAATAAGACTCGTATAAACTTTTGAATATTTTGTTATGGTTAATAGCTTCATATTTATCTGTTTGCTGTTTCTATTTTTTTTTTTGCATGGAAGGATGGTTTGATTCTTAGCCCAGAAATACTGTATACTTTATTTTCCAAAGAGAAATCTGTTATTTCCGAGACTGTTCTTTTTTTCCAAGAGATACAGTTTATTCCCCATGTGAGGCTGTTTTCAGAGTGGCTGTTTTTGTTTGTGTTTACCATTTACCATGTGATAATTTTATTTATTGTATGAGTCCTATTTAAAGTGTTGATTAAAAGTTGGGAACAGATGCAAAATGATGAGAAATAAAATTACAAACTGAAGTGTGTTAATTGTTTATCTGCAAGATTTACTGCCTACACAGGAACCTGTCTGAACATCATTAACATTTTTACATAGACTTGTTATTTCCCCAGAAAATTTGCAATTTTATGTTGGAAGGTATAATTTACCAAAATATTCATATTGACCTAAATTGCTTGTATATGTGGAGATTATATTTTAACAAGAATGTCTTACTTGGCCCATTATAAATATTTTTAAAGCGGTTTTCACTTTAAAACACTGAAAGAGTTTTCAGGTAATAAACCAGACAGGCTATATTTTGAATTTTGAACTTAAAAAAATTCCTTATGAGCGTTGTATGTCCATAAACAAAACAAAAAAAATACAGATTTGACAGATATTTTATTAGCTACAGTTGCACAAGCAATACTTCTTTGGTTCATATTTTATTCAAATGTATAACTGAAACCTTTTTGATAGTGTTTTGAGCTTTGTCCATTTCCAAATCGTAACATAGGGCGAATAATAAATGCTTTGAACTAGTAAGGGTTGCTAGTCGTATGCGTTCAAACCCCATCAGGGGCAAGCCTGTACTCTTGGCTTCCAACACAATTGAACCAAAATAACTTCATAAAGTCACCTTAATTTGATGTGAACAATAGCAAAGAAGGAACATAAAATCTAACTAATTTTAAGTTGTATGGTTTTATACAAGCACTATGATGAAGTACAACTAATTGGCAAAAATGCTTTAAATATTCTTTTTTATTTTATAATCAATTATTTTAGAAATAATATATCCCAAATAGTAATTTTATTACTTAATAAAATTACTGTTAATTTGGGTTCAACCTGAGTGATATAATGGTGCACATCCAAATGTCAAACAGTGATTTAATTAAGTGATAAAATAACTATTGGGGACATATTATTTCAATACCAAAATGACATCAAGAAGTAAATGCTGCCATATCTGATATCAAGCTTAACTTTGCCTGATTTGTTTCCATACTTTTTTCAGCATGTCGCATTTTAATGAGTCACTCACATGTCTATATACACTAGATGGTCAGCAGTGATTTTATTGTACATGTTGTATACAAATTTTAAAAGTCCACTGTTTTAATTTCTTTTGTATCACATAGGCAATAAAAAATACCAGATTTGACTAAGTGCTTTAAAAGACTTTCAGTAAATCTAAAATAAACTATTTCATTATACAGTATATTACTCACACTTTCAATCCTTCAATGTTCAATAGGGGAAAATGTAGGTTGTTCAAGAAGAATTGATTTCTTTGGTTGTGACTATTGATAACTTAATTAAAAGAAAGATATGGCATTAATTTAATTGCTTACTTTTTGAAGTAACCAACCCAATGTCTGGTTCAATAAAAGTTAGTATTTTCATCAATGTTATATCAACATAATAAGACCTTATGAAGCAATAAATTTTAAGTAGTAGGATTATATCCTCAACATGCCTTTTCCAATGTCGACACAGGTCTGAATATCTGACCTATTACCAATGGCTTCTGCAAACTAGTGGTACTTATCTATCCATGACTATTAAGTCTAAATATCAAGCATTTAGTTAAACCAAACATCTTAACATTTTTGTGATACAGACTTTTCCTGCTTTGAAGTTGAAATAAAACTAAACACTGGGATTTGAAACTTTTATTCTTATAGTACTAACTAAAAAGACTCTAATTGACACCAGTAACAGCCAAACATTTGCCTCCAGTACAACTGCCAAACAAATCTTTGTTTTTCTGTTTTATTATATTTTTGTGGGGGAAGGTGGGTTAATATGGAACCAGTGCAGCACCAGTGCAGCAGAGGTCATATGGCAGCTTTACTGATAGAGGAAGACTTCAGTGCATTATATAAGGCACACACATGCACCCGAGTAGAACCACTGAGGTTCCATTAGCTAGCTGGATAGCCTGCTCACATGATTTAATCACAGGTCCCTGGCAGGATTCAAACCAACAGAGGTGAGGGGGGAAGTCAACCACCTTCACCACTTTGCCAAGAATACCCTACAGTTAAGCCTATGTACATGTATTTATCCATTCTAAAATGAATGTTTTGTGTATTTGAAAACTATAAGGTATACAGAATGTATAAAATATTGTTAAATACCTCAAAATGCAATAATTCCCAGGGCTTGAAAAGCTACTTGTGTAAACTAAAAGTAACTAAACATGCAAATTTTTGCATTAGTGCTGAGATCGACAAGTATGGTATGTGAAATAGAAAATAATGAATGCTTTTAATGTTTTTTTTAAATTGTTTATTGAACATTAAACAAGTATCAAACAATATAACTGATCATGTTCTTTATTACCTTTAGTGAACTTATATACCTATGATAAAAAGTAAGTGTTGCACACTTGCAAAACTTCAAAAAGATAATCTTATAAATCAGGAAGAATAGACTTGTGAAAGCTTCATTGTATGTAAATAATACTGATATTAATCACCATTATTCTCTCTCCAACTCAACTTGATTACAGCAACATTAAAATAATTACTTGATTGAAAACTTAATAAATATATAAAGAAAATTACAAGCTGATAATTTAACAGTCTGAAAGATCACAAGATACATCAGTGTGGAAGAGTATTCCAATCTAGGATGTATTTCCTATTTATGATAAGTTAGCATTAAACTAAAATGTTTGATTATTATAATTTGATATATAATCTTGATCATGAAAAGCTACCCAGAATGAATTTGTTTTTTCACAATAAGCAATGTTATTGTTTATTCTGTTAACATTCAGTACCTGGTGACCCTCAGTTAAATCCTCTGACAACTTAAAAATATTGTTATAACCACAAACATACACTTTCCCTGCTTTATCTATTGTCATTCCAAATACATCTTTAAGTTGTTCATGTTTGTAGACTGCTAAAACAGTTCCATCCATTGACAGTCTAGTTACATTCCCATTTCCATAGCTTGAAACATACATATAATTACAATTTTTATCAAGGATAACATAATAAGGACCAGGAAACAACTTCTCTTCAAACCTTTGTAGAACATTACCATCTAGATCTAGCATTCTAACTGAACAAGGATCTCCAATACATGAAATTATCAATTTGTTGTTGTGATAAACTATGCCATAGCATGCACAATCAACTGGCACAGTTCTTGCTTTGGATAATGTGATCAAGTCTAACCCAAGCAACATGTCAGGTGAAGGAAACAGATAGTTTTAGAATGTGGAATTGTTACAGCTAACTGATCACTGCTTATTTTTGTCACATCCCATGGACGATCAGAGTCTTTTTTTTTTCCAACTGAGAGTTCTGTTATAACTTTCTCTTGTTCAATATCAATAAGTTTTACAGTTGAGTTATAGTTGTCAACAGCAGCAAGATGAATTGGGGAAAGAAAGCAAATTCCAGTGATATTACATGTAACATTGTCTTTAGTTTTAACACTGATGTATGTAGAGGGATTTTGTTTATACCATTCATTTAGGCTGCAAAACAAATACCAGTGTTTCACATTGTCCAAGTGTAATATTTTATAAGTCCATATTGTCACTTTGATACATATGACCAACAGACTCTTTGCAAGGTCATATCCAACAGAAAGGTAGGAATCTACCCATGAATTCATCCTCAACATTGACAAAGGAACAAAGGTAATAATAAGGAAAAGTATATAAACCATGTTTACTTTTATCCCCAACACTGCAAGCAGTAGAATAACAAATAGAAGGAAATATTTCCAAGAACTTAGAAATTCTTTTAGAATTTGACATGCCATTCTGAGTTCTAAAATAACGCGAACAGTTAATGCTGTAAACTCATTTGTAAATTTTTGCTCCTTTCCCATCCTTAATGATCCCAATGGTCTTTCCCTGCAGTTTTCAATAGGATAATAAGTGTAATCATTGACACTAACACCATATTTAAGGTTTTCTAACTTAATTTCTACCTTGTCAACTTCATGATAAGCCTCCTTTGCTTTAATAAAAAGCTTACATCTTTGTTGAGCTTTTTTCATATTGCATAAATCTGTTTCCATGGAAATTAGTTTATCATTAACAGTATCAGCTTCATTTAACTTCTCCTGAAGCTTTGCTCTGTCATCAGCATGGATTTTTGATGTGGTACTGTTTATTTCTTCTGCAAAATGATCAAATTGTAATATCATATTTTCTCTTTGCCTTTCTAATGTCCTAGCTGCACCAGACCTTAATAATTCTGTATGTTTTTTTGTTTTTTTCATTATTTGATAAATACATGTAAGTGCTGCATTAATAACATATTTTGTTGATGTTCTTTTAGAAACAAATTTGAATAAATATGTAAAAGCTAAGATATTTTTCTGTTTGTTTAAAACTACATGATTGTACACGCACTTATTCTGCAAAATATAACTCTTATCTAGGTTTTACACTTTTAAATGTGACCAGAATGATCATCTCTAGGATATTTGACTGTCCATAATTATGCAAAGTACAAAAATCCACCTTGCTAAAAAATTCTAAGTTTAATTTCCGTGTAACATTTCAATGTCTAACTAAATTTCCGCCTAAAAGAAACAACAAAGTCAGAAAAACTCCCTTAGCATTTTACAGCAAAATAATGCAAGTTCTATTTTCTGCCTAGTGAGTACAATATTCCACCTATGGAATAAAATATTCCGCCTAACTAACACGGAAAAAAAAAACCTGCTTTTTTTTCAGGTTAACAAATTTTTTTTCCTGCTAAGACATGAGCAGAATACGCCTTATGTTAGACGGATCTTTTTGTAAAATTCCATGTCCGCCTAGTGCTAGCAGGAAAAATAGAAAAAAATGCATTTTCAGGGCGGATTCCGTGTAAATTCCAGGCGGAATTTGGCTAACATTTTCGTACGGGCAGCATATATCCCAAGAAAAAAAAACTGTCGAAGAAAGGTGCAATGAAACTAAACACAGACGCAATGAGCATGCTAAAGAGAAAAATATGTTTTCTTTTCATGATGTTTCGATCAGCTATTAAGCCAAATGCAATTCTTGCAAAAACCTCGCACCCTCCCATTATTGTCACTCCGTACACTGCATGCGTAGTGTCATATCCAACATCTTTGATATGGGCAGGTATCATTATGAGGTTATTTCCATACCCGTTCATACAAAGTACAAAACTAACGCAATACATTGAAAATCTTGGATTTCTGAATAGGGAAAAGCGAAAATCCAATCCGTAACAATTGGTCAACGTGTCCTTAGATTTCTGTTTATCAATGCCTTTCTTCAATAACAGTTCTTGATCTTTCCTTGAACCTGTTGATTCTTGAGATTCTTTTTCTTTCAATAAAAGCTTAGGTTGTTTGAAGACACATGCAGCTACGCAGACATTCAACAAAATGCCGCCAATTACCCAGAATGCCCCATGTAAGCCGTATTTCTTAATTAAGAAACTGAAATAAATAGGGATATGTTAATTTCCGGACAATATAAACTCAATTTATTTCTATAGCATTTGAGTTGAGAAATAGAAAATACCAGGGTTGTTCAAATATGAATGCAACTAGGCTAATATCTAGCTTGTAACTACGAACTATGTACATGTATATCGCATAGATGGTTGTGTAAACTCTCAATTAATTACAATACATGTGTAAATCAGTTCAGTCTAGCTTTGACAATAGCTCGATTTTGTCTATCTACTCGTGTATATTAAAACTAAAATGTTTGGGTTTAGGTCTCCTTTCACTGACCAAATACAGTCCTATATCTAGAACCGCTGTATTCTTGGTATACAGGCAAAGTACATATTTAATGAACTAGGTTGTGTTTATGGGAATAATGGACTTTATAATGTGTCACACGGTGGTGTATGAAATTTAAAAGTGGTGTGGATTCAGTAAAAGATGCACCTTATGGACGCCGTCCAAAAACTGCAACTTCGCCAAAAATGGTTGAAAAAGTAAAGGATTTGATTGCTACTGATGCAAGATTTACAACTAGGCATAAAGCTAAATGCGTTGGTATGTCTGTAGGAGCCGCTCATACAATTCTCAGACGTGACTTAAAAATGAGAAGGATAAAAGCCAGATGGATACCCCATCTCCTTACAAAAGTGCCAAAACTTGCTCGGATAAGAATCTCCAAACAATTGTTAAACAGTTCTCTAAATACAACAATCGATCTTTCACAAATATCATCACTGGTGTTCACTTTAATTTATGAGCCCAAGCGAAAGATACATAACAAAATATGGGCAACCAAAGGAAGTCAAATACCTTGCACAGCAAAACGCACAATGAGCGCCAAAAAAGGTCATGTGTGTAATTTACTTTACCAATCAAGGTCCTGCAATTCAAATTGCCACACCAAAGGGTAAATCTGTAAATGCCAAGTTTTACAAAGGCAAGGTTCTTCGTAAATTAAGAAATATTTCAAAAACCGTCGACCAGCAACCTGGTCTCCGTGGTGTAAGGTTGTTGCATGACAAAGCGGTCATTTTACGAGAATATCTGAAACAGGAAAAGGTTTTCGAGCATCCTCATGGATCTTGTCTTGTCACATTTTTCTATTTCCGAGGCTCAGAAAACACCTTGCTGGAAGAAAATATCAAACGCGAAAAAATCTCGGTTTGGTTTTTTTCCAGTGTCTGAACAGTATACCTCGAAAAGATTATGAAATTGGATTAAAAGACTAAAACTTGGTATATCACACGGTGGTGAGTATTTTGAAGGACTGAGATAATTGTTTTAGCACTGTTTGTTGAGCGCTTCTGAAAATTGACCCAGTTGCATTCATATTTGAACACCCCTCGTATAAAGTTGAATGAAATTTTGGGAACCTATTTCAAATCTTATGATACTACCCTGTAAACTAATTAATTAAGTAATATGACAGGGACAGTACATGTAAAATTTCAAAAGACAACAACCTATAAATAGCAGGATATGTCAACGCCCCTATTCCACTCCCAGAAACGACAATTCCGTTAGCAAGTGCTCTGTGCTTCTTGAAGTAATAACTGATGATAGTTGAACAGGGTGAAAACGACAAACCATATCCAAGACCTATACGAAAAATATTACAATGTTCAGGTTATTATATCTTTTGCGGTCTTTTATTCTGATAAGCAAATAACTCACTAAATAAAGATAATATAAAGAGAATATTGTTATTGTCGAATCATTCGAGTAGCTTGTGGAGTTATTTCCTTTTTTTTTTTTTGTAATCTGAATACAAAAGAAGTTGAGTATTCTTATAGTTTAAAGTCATTTTACCACAAAAACACTTACAGAAGTATTTAGCTCAAAAGACGCTTTGTTTTCTGATAGGTGCTACATTTTACAAATAACCAGTCAAAACTTGTAGTTCAGATAATACTGGTGGTCGAAATGATTTCATTTCTAACCTGCGCACCCTCCCATGGTCAGGTACATGATTTCCATCTTTGGCACAAATCCCGACAGAAAATATCCCAGACACAAAAGTAAACCGCCAGCAAATGCCACACGTCGGAATGAAAATTTTCGACTGAACGAGTTGGCTACTGGAGCTGTGGATGGAGATAAAATTAGAAACTTAAAGGTCACCGAATACATAGTTTATTTAGTTGTTCTGAAAAAGATTGATATAAATGAGGATTTTGATTTGTTTTGCAATACCTTAAACTATCTATTTAAGTAATGTTGTTAAACAATAAGCCATCCACACGCAATATAGATTAATGTCAAGATTATCTAATTAATCATTGCAGTAGGGTCTTTCAAATAGATTGACAGACCCTGGTTGCCGGATAGAAGAATTTTAAAACATTTAGTCAATGTGGACTGACATTTTATCTTTATGACAGGAGTGAGAAGTTGATAGATACACAGAGAACTACATATTTAATTAAGTTATATTGTGGAAAAAATAAGAAGCCCTCTAAAAGAAGCAATGTAGATTAATGTCAAGATTATCGAATTATTTATGGCAACAGGGTCTTTCCAATAGATTAAAATACCCAGATTGCAGAACATATCAAAACATTTAATAACTGAATGAAGTTCCTGTGAACTGACATTTATCTTTGTGACACAAGTGTTTAGTAGATATATACACAGAAAACTCCTTTCAATTGCAGTCAGAGCAGAAATATAATATATTACATTGATATATGCGCGAGTTACGGCATTGTATACAAAGTGGTTAAGTCAATCAGATTTCGAGAATCTTATACGTAGATTTTTATCATATATTTTTATAAATCTATATATAGATACTGGGAGATTTTACCTGATAGTTAGACAATTACATATACTCACATAACCCTAATAATAGTAGAAGAACCATGCTCCCTATCCAAGCTGTATTACCAGATCCTGTGCCATAATAAGACACCATTTCTGTATACAATATACCATAAGCCTTGATAGTTCCAATAACAAGAGAATACATCATGAAACATCCTGTAATGAAAAGTTTCTTTGTTTAATACATTTATTAACTTCTTTTCCATTTAAAGGGGAATCCACTGAGGTTGCTTTGGACATAACGGGACTGGTAATAATCTTCCAAGATAAATGCTGCATTTGATGTAGGTCTAGTTTAATAGCTATGTGCAAAAGTTGAGATAATTCACTCACTCCGTTTTGTTTTTCAGAATAACTATTCTATTTGAGAAAAATGAGCAACATTTAAAAGCGCTTTTACTCAAATCGGGCTAAGAATATCACAAGCATACAATATGTAATTCATTTCTCAGTATATTTCTTAATTATCTGTTACATATCTTTCTGTTATAAGTGTCCGGCTGATCTATGTAAGAAATTCGAATTTTATAGTTTTAGCCTTTTGGACCTCAGTGAATTGCCTTTTTACAATATATTGAGAATGGTTCCTTATCTGCACAAGACAAAAACTAAATATCATATTTAAAACAAGTAAACAAAATTTGCACGACGACAACAACAATAACATCAAAGAAAATAAATAATAATAATAATAAAACAATCTAGTCCTCTGATAAACACAGAAGATGATATACATTTTGAAAAAGTATAAAACATTCGAGTAGGTTGGAACTGGTCAACCTATTATATACCTTGCCGCCATTACTGATATAGAAATACCTGCTAAGATAACCCAAGCATATCCGTGGTCCACATCTGGGTCAACGTTATCACCATCGGTTTGTTTCTCGTCTTTCTGTACTGCCATGTCTTTACTTAATATCTTTTTAGCTATCGCTATTTGTAATGTCTAAGCTCAACATTTTTTCAACCTTGAAAAAGAACAAATAATTTCACTTTGCAGTATGTTATCCAAACGGTATATCTGTTAATTCATATGACAGCCTAATTGGAACAAGAATATCGCTTCAAGCGCAATGGATGCTCCCAGAATCTGCATATCTGTCAATGTACTCAATGTGCATAAGTCAATAAAGAAAGAGCAAAAGCATAAAATATATAATGTTTGCACCAGTGACGTGACTCCACCCCCTTAGTGATCCCTAATTCCACCCAAAGTTAGAGGTCAACCTAATGTATTAATATACCACTAAAACAGCACATAATAAATAAAGGTTGCACGGGCAAAAGTCTAGTAAACTTGACCTTGACCCAGTGATCACATATAGTACCAACCAACTTGCTGAATGAAAACGACACCATTTAATAAATTTGTATATAGCACTGGTGTTCCTGACCTTACTGTCCGGCTGTTCCATTACCTCACAAAAAGTAGTGGGCCACCCAAAGTTTCTTCTTACTCCATACGATAGACATTAGTAAATAAACCTAAGTAGCAATTTGCTAATTAGTAATAAAAACACTACTGCTGGGTATTTGTGATAATAGATCGAGTATTTTAAGAAACAAAACAAATGATTGTTTTTCATAAAGTCTTATGCAATAATAAATCTCTGTTTAAATATATTTATTTGTCAAAAGATAAGCTTACTTACACACTTTGATACACCTACATTTCTTTGCTCATTTTGGTCGTCTCTGATTTTTTTATATTTCTGTTCCATTGCCTTCTTTATGACCTTCGATTTATTTTCCGTTTATTTATCTCTAATTAATTATTGCATTTAACTGTTAAAGGCCCGTTGTGCTCCAGATCTTTTTCTATTTATTTCAACAAAAGCATTTAATTTCAGTGCCCTGTTAAAGTTTCAAAAAATTTATAATGGCCAATTACCTGAACCATTGTTTGTCTCATTCGCTTTTAGCAGTAAGTATACAGTTTCGGTGATTTAGTATTTTGTAAAGAAGTCAACTTATTGCTTTGTTTACGTTTTACCTCTTTAGAAACAAATACTTTGACATTGAGCGCTACTTTCTTCATGTGATAAGCATCCAATATGCTCTTAAATTTTAAAACTCATGTTTGCTATTTCTTAAAGGACTAAAATATTCATTTCTGAGGCATAATTGTCCTTTAAACTAAACATTTTACACACAATTTAAGGCTTTGAGCATTAAAACTTCATTCTAAAACACTTAAACCAAGGACAAATTATGATCTAAATCTAAGTACAGCGTGACTCACAATTGAAAGGAAATTATAAAGACAGCGTATTTAACAATAAAACGGAAAGAAATATTGCATGAATTTTGAGTCCAGCATGTTTATCCTTTTTCTACAAATGTGTTCTTTATCTTTGTTGTTAAAAAGAAATAAAAACATATAAAACATAGATTAAATTAGTCATAAATTGAATCACATATTTATATACATATTTAAAAGTATTCATTTGAAAAAGATCAATTCTATCAAGGACAGAACTGCGTGTTATATATGTCTTTATTATGGAACGCCTGGACTGTCTTATGTTAAGAATGAATTATATACCTGGTTAAATGTGTTTCTGTTGAGTCCGAGATACAAAATGCTGGGTGGAAATCATAATGTGCTCAGTTATTGAAGTGCTATGTTGTGTGCTGACTGTATTTTATTCTGTCAAATCAATGTATTATCGGGTGCATAAGTCGTTATGTTCAGTTCTTAAAACAAACAGGCATGTGGAAACACAATTATGTTGAGTTAAAAAGATATGTTGTAGGGTGTTACAGTTATTATGTTCGGTTATAATAATATGCTGTTTTGTGCTCTTCTCATCATGTTCAACCATGAAAATAAACAGTTGAGTGGTACTATCATTTTGTTTGGTTGAGGCAGTGTATTATTGAGTGATACTTTTATTATTTTCAGTTGCAATGACATGCTGTTGGGTGCTTTTTTCCTTCTGTTCAGTCGTGAAATAGAACTGTTAAATGGTACAATCATTATCTTAAATGGTACTATCATTATCTTGTGCGCTGATTATATCTTCTTCAGTCAAGTCAATGTGTTGTTCGGTGCAAAGGTCGTTATGTTCAGTTTTTTTTTTGGTACTATCATTATGTTCAGTTCAGATGATATACTGTTCAGTGCAGAGGTCATTATGTTCAATAGTGAACACAAAACTGTTGTGTGATACAACCATTATGTTGGGTTCATTCGGATAT